AGATAATGCCAAGTGGCGGCGAGGATGTGGTGGGCAGGGGAGTCGCGTGCTGCTGATGGAAAAGGACTTGGTGCAGCCAGCTTGGAAAGCAGTTTGGTGACTTATCAAGAAGTCAATTCACCATTTGACCCAGATTCACTCAAAATTACCTACCCGAGAAGAATGAGAACAAAAGTCCCGCGGAGACTTGTATGTTCATGTTCATAGCAACATTATTTCCAGTGGTCCCAAAGGAACCATCATCCACATGTCTGTCAAATGAGTACAAAGGAATGCTATTCATCTGTAGGCAGGAGTGGAACACTCATACACTAGACAGCATGGATGAACCTCAAGGCATCATGTAAGAAGGCAGAAGCAATCAGCGTGCTTATGTAAGATATTCAGGAGGCAACGCTTTAAAGACTGAGACCACGAGGTTGGTGGTATTTTCAGGATGAAAATAGTCTGAAGCTCCCTGGAAGGGGCTTGGAGAGGGCACAGCTCATGAATTCCTGTCATGTAAGCATGAAGGTCTGAGCTTGGATCCTAGCACCCATCGAAGCCAGGAGTGGCTGTGCCCAAGGACAAGTGGATCTCTAGAGCTTGGGCCAGCCCGTCTAACCAAGGGATAAGACTCAGGTTCAGTAAGAGACCCTACCTCAAAAACCAATGTGGAGAATAGCATTGGAAGATGTCTGATGTCAACCTCTGGCCTCCATATGCACACACACACACACACACACACACACACACACACACACGTACACACATGTCTGTGTGTACATACACATTATACTATACACAAAATGTTCTGAACCTAGTTGTCAATGCAACTTTACACATCAAAAAAGTACTACAAGGAATTACATACAAGTAGGAGGGGACTCCTCTGAACAACTCTCGGCATCATATTTTAAGAACAGTGAAATTTGGAATCTTAATGCTGCAAATTTTGGTTCAACAAAAGCATTTGTCAAACCGAATGACAGTTATTATAAAATTATAAACAGATTTCTGCCCACCATATCATCTTGATTGTTCCTTTGTCAAAGGACAATTTGAAAACTCTCATATATCTGGAAGGCACCAAACAAAATGAAATTGAATGAGCAGTATCTATTTGTAAGCAGAAAGAATGGAGCAGACGTGGGCAGACCTTCCGCTTGGCTTTCACGTTAATATGCTGCCACCTAGTGATTATTTGTAAAATGGCAGAACTTTTGTTTTATTTTGTCTTAGATTTGTTAAGCCATTCACACGCCACAGCGAACACCTAAAGGCATGATAAAATGCAGGTGGAACATATGCGTCATTGAATGCATTTTAAAATTTAAAACTTTAGTTGGGTGGTAGTGGAATGTGCTTTTGATCCCAGTGCTTGAGAGGCAGAAGCAGGTGGATCTCTGTGAATTTGAGGGCAGCTTGGTCTATAGAGGTAGTTCTAGGACAGCCAAGGCTACACAAAGAAACCTTGTCTCAAAAAAAAAAAATAAAATAAAATAAAAAATAAAAAAAGAAACCTTGTCTCAAAAAACAAAAATTAATAATAATAATAACTTTTTATTTGAATACACTGATTTTTTTTTTTTTTTTTGAGACAAGACCCCAATCATTCATTTTGAGACAAGGTCTAGCTATATAACTTCAGGCTAGCCTAGTACTCTGTATGTAACCCAGGCTTGCCTTGAACTCTAGGCAATCCTCCTTCTTTACGCTGGGATTACAGGGGTTGGCCACGACCTGGCTGTCCTAAGTCTTAAAAACCGGGAATAAAGAATACATTGCTAGGGTAGTTGTGGGCACTAAGTGTGGTTATTCAGTAAAAGCCCTACCTTAGAAGCATCTGGGGGGGGGGGGGAGTTGAGATTTGACAACTTCCCTTCTTAGAATGTGCTTCAGGGCAAAGATCTGTTAGCTGCCAGTTAGAATGAGGCTCTCAGTTTACAACAAACAAAATGCCTGAGCAGTTCAGAAAACTAGGTGTTGGGCGGGGTGGTACTCGGTGATTCAGTACTTACTTAGCCTCCCAGCACACTGCCTCCCCCCACCCCACAAAATAGCGCACTTAGAATTGACAGCTGGCCGGAAAACCTCATTTGAACATGTATATAATAGCAAGACTTGCAGAACTACCAGAGTCTGGCAAATGACTTGAAGGTTGAAATTGCTGGGTATTTGTAAATGGTGCTGACAGGGCTGTCAGGGGTTACCTCTGTAGCTGGTTCTCTCGCCTCCAGAATCTAATGAATGCCTGATACGTTTAATGTAAGCCGGCCAGCAAAGTGCTGGGCACATTCACTTCCCCAAGATTTTTTCCTCACTTCCCCAAGAATTGAAACGAGTGTATGGCCGTGGATTTTATTCCACAGGTTAAGGATCGCCAGCATCTGAAATTAAAGGGTTCCTACTACCCAGTTCTTCGACCCCTAGGCTGTTTCCTAAGGATGTTAACGAGCCTAGTGTTTACTTTCCACATGGAAGGTTCTGGCACCACTTACCCAGTTTAAAAACAGCTTCCTTGAGGCCTGATTTAGAGCTCATAGAATTTCCCTATTTTAGGGGCACAAGCCTAAGTCAAGCATGGGGGCACATGTCTATAACGCATCATGCAGGAAGCTGGGACAGAAGGATTGTGCATTGGAAGCCAACCTGGGAAACATGTCCAGTTCTAGACCAGGTTGACTCTAAGACTCTATCTCTAGATTGATGATAGGTAGAGAGATGGATAGATCAGTGCAGTCATTGTCACAATCCAGCTACAGAATAATTCTAACATGAACTTTGTGTTTGAGCCAAACCATAATTTATATTGCTAACTTGTACATTTAAAACACCTAGATTTAAGATTTATTCTTAGCATTCATTCCTTCTATTCATTCAAGAAAACCAAAACCTACACTCACTCTCATCTTCATTCAAAATAGAAATTTATAAAGCTCATCCTCAGAACTCTCTCAAGAGGTTTTCATGATAAAAACATATATATACATATATATGTATATATATGAAATATATATGCATAAAACCTGTACCTGCTTGGCTGTCTCACTGGCCCACCCCCGCTCTTACTAATATGATCTGAGGTCTAAACATGTTGATTTAGCACATCTTAAGTTTATGGGAGAAACCGTTTCACTTCCTGTACGTTTTCTGAGTCCATTTTTGCTTAGTTAGATGTGAGCCAGTAAACCAAGAGCAGCAGAGGAAAAGATGCTCCTGTAACACCACACCCGAGACCTGGATTTTGTCTAGCCTCAAAATCATACTGTGCAGGAGGGAATCCCCTTCCCCCAAACCTAGTGTCTGTGGTCTCCATTTCTTCACATGGTATCTGTTTCACATGCACAGATATAGATCTTGGAATTGCAGTCTGGGAATAAAGAAGACACCCCAGCTATTTGTAAAAATTCACCGGAGATCTGTGGGTATACTGCATGCGCTTGGAAATCCATGTCTTCCTCCAGCTCCCCAGAGTTTGCGGCTGACTCCGTTCATCTTGACATTTAAATACTATTTTATATTTATTTAAGCGTTAGGTATATGTTAGCTCAGTCTCCACCATTCAGTAAGCCCCTGTGGTTAGAACAGTTGTTTTAAATGTGCATGTTGAATGAACTTTGTATTTCTCAAACACCTACTCCTCTTGGGGCACCAAGAAAGTTATTTAGTAAGAACTGCTTAATTCATAAATGATCCCTCGGGTCTGCCTCCCTGCCTCTGAACTCCTAAAACATTTACAGTCTCCATATAACCCAGACTTCTTAGACATGGCAGCTTTTCTGTCCCCATAGCAGTTGTGTGCACCACTGAGACATAGGGTCTTCACTGCTGAAATACGAAGCCATGGCTACTGTGACCAAGCACCAATTGTCATTCCTCCCCTTGTGTCCCTAATAGAACCGATTATAATTTCTAAAAATTCATTTGTTTTTAATTCTGTGTATGTGTCCCTGGTATGTACAAGTTAATGTGGAAGTCTGCGGAGGCCTGGGGCTGGAGTTACAGGTGGTTTTTAGCTGTCAGAAGCAAGTGCTAGGAACCAAATTCACGCCCTCAGCAAGAACAACGGGCAAGCACGCATAACTGCTGAGCCATATCTCTAGCCCCTTGGTTACAATTTCAAACGCAATTATTCTTTTAATGGCCCTCTTGATATTTAAAACTACAAATGCAAAATAAGCTCAAAAGTTTTTGGGTTTTTGTTGTTGTTTGGGGGTTTTTTGTTTGTTTTCCGAGACAGGGTTTCTCTGTGTGTTACCCTGGCTGTCCTGGAACTCTGTTTGTTGAACAGGCTGGCCTTGAACTCACAGAGATCCGCCTGTCCCTGCCTCCCAAGTGCTAGGACTAAAAGGTGTACACCACCACGCCTGGCAAGTTCTAAGGGTTTTTGACAATGCAAAATACACAAAGTAAAATTAGCTTGCACGCGAGTCCGGTGTTTCCATCCGGCTCTCCCAGAGCCGGGTTTTCCACACCAGGTAGCCCTTAGAACCTCGACAGCAAGCGGAGGCAGCGGTGAGCTTCAAAGAGCGCGGAGCCTGGATCTGGGAGCTGTCCTAGATCGCGCACTCGGGCTTCTTCAACCGTGGGTGACCTTGAGGACGCTGCACACTCGCGTGAAAGTTTGCCCCGGGTCCTAAGGAAGTCTCTGTGCCCATTACAGACTATTCAACAGTTTCCCACAGTTTCAAGGGTCGCGCCCGCCTCTCGGCCGCCTCAGACTGAAGTGTCTCCGCACTGCAGTGGCTGCTTCCCGAGCAGGCGGCTTGGGCTCTCTGTAGGCCTCCCGGGTTACTCCGGAGTCTCCCCGCCTCAGCCTAGGCGGGCGTTCTCCCTGGCCTTGGAAGCTCCGCCCTCGCTCGACTTTGGCCACGCCCCCTCACTCCAAGTTTGATTTCTGCGCGCGCTAAGCTCGAGAGCGGCTGTAATTGGTGGAAGGTGAGCGGATCTCTCATTTGATTGGCTAAGCGTTGTCGGGGGCGGGAAGGGGCGGGGTCAAAGGCGGAAACCCGGCAAGTCGGGGCATCCCGGTTACATGATGGAAGTTGTTAAGTGTCCGGAGCACGGTAAGGCCCCCGGGCTCAGGACTGCCCTCGAGCCTGTGGGACTGGCCTGGAGTGGCCGTTGCTGACCTTCTTGTTTCCTCAGGGACCGTGTGCTTCTTAAAGACCGGTGTCCGCGATGGCCCGAATAAGGGAAAGAGCTTCTACGTGTGCCGGGCGAACTCATGCGGCTTCGTGCTGGCCACAGAGTAAGTCTCCAGGCCGATTCCACCGAATGACCAGCCTGGTCACGTTAGCAGTCTTGGGACGCAGATTCCACCATATTCAGATGGGTCGCGTATTGCCCTACACGGATCCTTGTAGACGCAGCTTCAAGTTTCTAGTCACCTGCCTGGCCTTAATTAGCAACTCCCATCTTCCCCCTCCCGGCATCCTTTCTGCTGCCTCTAATAAGTGCAGACAAACAGTGGTCTTGGAAATTAATTCGCTAGTTTTGTACCAATTTTAGGTCGCCCTTTTTATTTTATGCTTGAGGTTAAAAACATGAGTTGTTAGATACCAAACTTTTTTCCAGTTAGTGGTGTGAACTTGATAAACCGCAGTCTTTCAGGACACGTTTCTCAACCTTTGGGGCGCGACCCCAGGGTGAACTACCCTTCCATAGGGGACACATTTCAGATATCCTGCATACCAGATATTTTCCAGCTAGTGGTGGAAAATATTTACATTACAGTCCAGAGCAGCAAAATTACAATTATGAAGTAGCAACGAAAATAATTTTCTGGTTGGGCGGTTACCCAACCATAAACATGAAGAACTATTAAAGTGTCGCAGGCGCTGCTGCTGCTGTAGGAAGTAGCACTGAAAGAAATGTCAGAGATCGACGTTAAACTCAGGTTCCACAGAAGCAAAAGCTGAGACCCAGAAATGTCAAGCATCTTGCCTAACGTGAGGAAAGTTAATATTGCTCTCAAGAGTGACAGTCTTATATACCAGATGTCTACATTCTCCAAGTGAAATTCAACTGGTAACATTTAACATTTCCTCCTGCTCACTATTCAGCTGAACTTTGTAGAGCAAAAAAAAAAAAAAAAAAAAATTTTCAGTATCATAACTATATAATGGATATTAGTAGTGCAATAAGTTTTATGCTTTGTGTCTCCATTTTGCATCAGGGTAGACTGTTTCTAGTTTCTAAATATGTTGAGATTTGGTTCCCTGTTCAACTGTTTTGAGATACATGTATTCTCATGCTTATAGGAATTAAGTAAGCATCAGTGGTGCTTTGAGGTTTGGTTCAACATTAAGAGAAATATTGTTGGGGATTGGAGAGATGGGTCAGCATTTAAGAGCACTGGCTTCGATTCCCAGCACCCACACAGGGGCTAACAAATATCTGTAACTCCAGTTCCGGGCTATCGGGCACTCTTTTGGCTCCAAAGGCACAGCATGTGCATGGTACCCAGACACACATGTAGACAAAATACCCCTAAACATAGAATACAAATAAATAAATCCTTCAGAAAGAGAGTGAACGTTCTTGAACGGAGTGCCACTCACATGGGCGCACTGCAACCTGAAGAGTACAGTGCTTTGAGCTGAGGCTTGCAGTGTCTGATAAGCAGGCTGCAGGCCGAGGACAGCTTTACAGATCGCAGGAGAGTGCCTCACTCAAACCCACTCGCCCTCAGTATCGTACATATGGTTCTGTGAATTAGGACGGACGGACACTTAAAAATATACGCCAAGCAAGAAGCAGATCAGTAGGTTATTGTTAGGGGGAGACGTGAGTAACGAAAAGTGACAGCTAATGGGGCATTAATGGATAAAGGATAAAGGGAGAACTCACCACAGGCCTGCCCTGTAGCCAGCCTTAGACTACAAGGCATTCCTGGGAGTATTGCAGTGTAGACGTCATGTAACGGGCACTTTCAAACTCCTAAGTCGTGAAGAAAAAAATAATTATGGTCATGCTTTGTTTTATTAAGTGGGAGGAGAGAAACGGGTGGTGATGTTTGGGATTTATAAACACAGGACAAGCTATGGGCAAATCCTTGTTGTAGAACTGTAGCTGGGCTGGGTGTGGTGGCACACATTTATGATTGTAGGACTCAAGAGGCAGAGGAGGGATTGCTGCAAGTTTGAGGCCAGACTGGGCTCTCTGGAGGGAGTTCCAAGCCAGCCAGGGCTACACAGTGAGACCTTGTCTCCAGATGTATAAATAATAAGAATTCAAGCTTGGATTTGATTTCAGGAGGTTGGCCTCTATCCCTTGTCTTCTAAAATTCTCTTCTTTTCCCCCTCTCTCCTTCCAGCATTCCTTTTTCTCATTGTTTATTGCATGAGGACTTTGTGGTGGAGCTTCAGGGTTTGTCTCTACTGCAGGGCAAGGAAGAATGGAGGTAAGCGTCCATGAAGAACACCTAGATGCATCCCCCTCCTTTTTTTGCTACATCCTGAAATCTCAGAGTTGCAGCTAGATATTTCTTTAAAAGTCATTACTGAGAAACAAACTATGTTTGTATATTTTGAACATCATCTACCTTGTTATGCCCAAAGTCAGCGGTTCTCAACCTGTGGGTCACAACCCCTTTGCATTCCAGGGGTCACACATTGGATATTTACATTATGATTCATAACAGTAGCAAAATAGTTAAGAGGTAGCAACGAAAATGATTTTATAATTGGGGGGGGGGGGGTCACCACAACACGAGGAACTGTCTGAAAGGATCACAGTTGTTCAGCCCTGAATGCTGAACTAGTTACCCGAGAAGCCAGTGGCTAATTTCTGGATTACCAGCTCTGTTGTTATTCCACTCCAGCTGCTCGATTAGTAATAAAACAGCCCACTCCTTTGTCAACATTAGAGTATGGTAACAAAGAGGGAGAACGTCTAAGATGCCAAGTACTCAGTAAAGTGCAGTTTCCCTTGGGCAGGGCAGGGAAGTCCATATAGATGGGAGATATTATTTGTCATGAGGATGAAAAGCTAAGTAGAAACCTACCAGTCACTAGATGCTTTTTGAAGTAGGCACATTGCCTTGGGGTACCAAGGCTTGAAGTAACAAGACCACTTCAGAGAACTGGATTGGTGGTTGACCAAGAAGGCGGGGGTCATACAGGATAGCGTGTATGGAACAGAATTCTTTGTAATAGAATTTAGCTGTCCTAAGTCTCTGTCCCCAACCCAAGTATATTGAAATGCTTGGCATTCTTGTTTAAAAAAAAAATCAATTGAGCCTAAGTTTGGGGTGGTTGGTGTTTGAGGTGGTTAATTTCTGTCCGTTGGTTCATTTCCATATTCTTGCAATTTTTAATTATGTAAAATAGTATGTTATAACTTCTTCAAGATTTCGATGGCAATTGTTGGATCTTTGTATTTGGATATCAAATAGAGATTCAACTTCTTAAATTTCTACAGAAAACTCTGCTGAGGTTGCATAATTTGCACAGATCAGTTTTGAAAGAATAGACCTCAATATTGGCTTTTCTAGTCTGTGAACATGGTGCAGTAAGACTTTAAATTTTTCTCTCATTGTTTTTAAATAATTTCCCTTATAAAGCTCTCATACTCCTTATACTAAACGTATTCCTCTGGTTATGTTTTCAGTGCTGTTTTAAATGGAATGTTTGTTATTCTCTGTATGTGGGGGATATGTGTAGATGTATGTGTGCATATATTTGGATGCCATGTGCCTGTGTGTGTGTAGAGGCCACAGGTTGATGCTGAGTGACTCTTGATCACTCTCCACTTTACTTACTGAGGCAGGGTTCTCACTGACCCCAGAGATCAGCAGTTCTGCAAGCTTAGCTACACAGTTTGTCCTGGGGACACTTTGTCTCTGCCTCCTGAGCGCTGGGATTACAGTCGGCTGCCAGCCCCACCTGTATTTTACGTGGGTTCTTCAGTTTTCACAGTTGCAAGGAAGTACTTTATTCACTGAGCCATCTCTCTAACCTACAAATGTAATTTAAAAATATGTAATAAATATTATATGTATAATTAATATATAGTATGTTGTATATTATATATTTAATTGTTTTCTGTTGTAGATATATATTTTATGTAATATATTTTTACTACTTTATGAATACATATTTAAATTATTTTCTGTTAGTAAAGTGGGGCAGACAAATCTTTATTAGGTCCATCTTGTTCTCCTGACACTTAAGATCACTTGTCCCTTGAGTCAGAAAAATCTGCCTCTATAGGTGGTGGAAGGCAACCAACAGATTCCTTCTTTGATTTTAAAAAACAAACAAACATGGAGATTCAAAAGTGAAGACAGTGGAAGAAAAGGGCCGCTGAGTTAATGGCTACCCAGGATGGCAGCCACATGGCACCTTGTTATCCCAGTCTTCCTCACCCATCTGCCATGATTAGTGTCAGTAGCTGTTTTACAGGGGGATGTGAGGCTAGAGAGGTTGAAGAGGGACTCTGAGCTCCTGTGAGTATGAAATGGTGTTGCTGGGATTCAAACCCGCCCCCAGCTACTACACTCACGGGCTTTCTCTAAGTGAAAGCCTGAATTGAGACAATGCAGCTGTGTGCGGGTAGGCTTGAGAAAAACTGCTTGAAGAGGACTGGAATGGCCAGCCATTTCCTGGTAGAGCATTTTAATGATCTCCTCTCCGCATTCCCATCTGGGATACTGATGGTGGAAGTCCAGAAAGTCCCTACATTGTGAAGAATTAGCTGTGTGGTACAGTTTGTAGTTTGCTAGTATTTTTTGTTTGTTTGGCAACTTCTTTTTTAGACAGTTACTGCGGCCTCCCTTCTGGCACACACAGTATTTCTGTGTTTTTCTGATTTTAGCAGCCATTGCCGATCACTTCCTCCATTTCATTTGTTCTTCAGAAAGGGTAAAAAGAATAGACCTGCACATACTCTGGTTGTTGTATCATTTTGGTTCTTGACTTTCCAGCCCTTAAAAATGTCCTCTGCAGGGACTGGGGGCGGGGGAGGCTCAGTAGGTAAATTGCTGGCTGTGCATGACCTGAACTCCCATCTCCAGCACCCACAAAAGAACTGTGTGTGCCCAACCTGGGCTGTGGTGAGACTTTGTCTCTCCCTCATTTTCTTTTGTTGTTGTTTTGTTTTGTTTAATTATGGAGTTAGAGAGATGCTCAGTGGTTTAAGAGCTTTTTTGCTTAAGACATGGTTTCTGTTCCCAGAACCCTTATCAGGCAGCTCACAACAGTTACAGGCCTGTATCTAACTAGTTCCAGGGAATTCAGTGCCATCTTCTGGCCTCTAGAGGCACTGCATGAATGTGATACCTTATATATATATAATATATATATATATTATATATATATATATACATATATATATATATATAAACCCTTTTTAAAAATCAAAACACCGAAACTCTTAAAGAATATTTGTAACCTTAATTATTTGTGTTTTATATTCATTAGGTTGTTCTTCCGATGTGCTAAAAGTAAGGCAGAGGGAAAGCACTGGTGTGGAAATGTCCCATGGCAGGTAGGAATTACACACCTGTTTTCCAATATGCCGTGTTAAGACAGTGTAGCAGGCCCCTTTGACAGAAAGCACCCCAAGTCTGTATGAGCTGTTGGTGTCCCTCACACTGCCTCTGAGAGAGCCCTGAAAAGCTGTGTGACTGCCCAGAGAGCCACTGCCAGAGTTTCATCACTTAATCTCCTGTTTCATGCAGATGTTTTTCCAGTGTCACAAAAGCAGTCAGTATCCTCCTGCTTAGGAAGAAAAGGCTAACTGATCTTTTTAAAGATCATATTTACTTGATTTACATGTAAGCTAAATATAACACCTAGGTTCCTAAAATATGGGAGGAGAAGAGGCCCTATTGATGTCTAGTACACAGGGACTAGACCTAGGAAACTGGAAACACTTGTAAAGAATAGAGAAATATACATTCTGGCTCTTGTGACTGTCAGAGCAGTTTGGTGTAGCCTTCACTTGAGTCCTGGAAAGGAGTGATCATGTACAGAGAAGGAACCGGCACTGAAAGAAATGCGTTTGTTGGGAGTTTGGCCTCTTTCCTTTTTAGATGCAGAGGCAATAAGAGGCGTGGAATATATTTCCTGTGTTTCCATTTCCTCCAGAAAGGCATTTTAGCTATAGAGGTGGCCTTATTTTGCGTTACAGTGTCCTGCTTTCATTGTCCATAGGATCCTAATCCTAAAGACCGTCCTGTGAGCAGTAAGCCTCCAAAGACAGCTGGGATAGTTCCTCACTCTCCCAGCCAACCAAGAAACCCATTCAGGGTGCTTAACAAGAATCAAAAGCCAGCTCTCTGGAAACAGTTTGTGGAAGGAGAAGGTGAGGGAAAGACAGCCAGTAAGAAGCTGGGAGAACACAGAGAGCGGCTCTTGGATCAGAGGAGAGAACAGAAACCCAAATCTAACTGCAGGGTGGAGAAGGACCCCTCATCTGACCTGGTGACAAAGAGACAATCTGCAGGTGAAGAGAAAGAACAGGAAGAGAAAACAAATTTCCAGCCCCAAACCAAGGCGACTGAAGGAATGGCTTCCAAGCAAGGCCATGGAGATGTGCTTCAAGGAACACCTGTGGCTCCTCGGATGTCAGAGAGTAAAAGTCAAGATGTCCCAAATAGGGCAGAACATCTAAGAGAAGGGGAAACCCAGCTTTTGCCTCAGAGTGTCCCTGGTCAGAACCCAGAAAGCAAGGTCCAGATGCTCAGTGGGGAGCATCTCAAGAATGGGGAAGCCCAAAACAAAACAGGAACAGACGCCCCCAATGCACAGGCCTCCCAGAAAGGGCTAGCTCAGGGGCCTCTCCAGGCACCTTCCAAGACATGTGGGCCTCCTCCCAAAGGACTAGCAGCACCTGGGCTCTGTGTGGGAGAGGCACGCCATGCCCGCAGCACGTCGTCCAGCAGCGATGACAGTGAGGAAGATGATGGTGCTTCCAGTAGCCCAGGGTCCCCACTTCTCTTTGACTTGACTGTGGCCTCACAGAAGAGTGGGAACCTTCAACCTTCTGACCAAAGTGTGCAAAAACAGATACCTGCTTCTTCAGACCTTTCCAAGAAGGGAGACTCGTCTGACCCTGCAGCCCAGCGGGCAAACCTTACAGCGCAGCTGAAACAAAAGAAGGTGAGTCGGCAGTGCACACTGCTTACAGAGGGCCCCAGTTCAGCTCCCCACAGCCTAGAACCTCAGCTCCTCAGCAGGGGGTCTGATGCCCTCTTCTCATCTCTTTGGGCCCCTGCACTTATGTCCACATACTTACACATAGTTTATATGCATACAAATACATATTATTAGAATTGGGGGTGGAGGGGAGGAAGGCAGGCCATTGCTGTCTTATTCTTTGTCTCTAAGGCGGCTGTTCTCAACCTGTGAATTGTGACCTTTTGGGGTATCAAATGACCCTTTCACAGGGTTTGAATATCAGATATCCTACATATCAAATATTTACATTCGTGACAGTAGCAAAATTACATTTGCGAGGTAGCAAGGAAATAGTTTTGTGGTTGGGGGGGTTCACCCCAACATGAGGAACTGTATTAAAGGGTCGCAGCATTAGAAAGGTGGAGAACCACTGCTTTAAGGTCAGGGCGTTCCTGTGGGCAGCTGGGAGACTATCACAGAGTTGTCGATTCCTGAGAGGACTTTCTTGGTGACTGCTTCCTACCTGCTTTTCCTAGGTTTGTGCTTAGTAAGGCTTAGTGAGTTAGCTGCTGGGGTTTTGTTTTGTTTTTTAATCCTGGTTTTTACATTCATAATTAAAAGATCATTTCGGCGTGCTAAGCCGAAATTTAAAAATCTGAAGTTGTCTTTTAGTCACTTACGAGGCCAGTTCCGTTTAATAGGATTTGTTTTTGTTTTTTTTTTAAGGGCACATTGGCTGCAGTGAACATCCTGGCTCTCCCTGACAAGGGTGAGAAGTTGCTTAAGCAAATCCAGGCACTGGAGGATGCTCTCAGTGCTCTGGCTCTCTCCCCAGAGCAAGGTAAGCTAGGGTTTGCCCCAGAACTCAGTGTTTTTGAACTTGACAGACAGACACATCTGATTAAAAAAAAAAAAAATTGTTCTTTTTTCCATTTTATTTTCAGCTTCTGAGCTTTCTTCTGAAGATAATCTACTGTAATTTATAAAAGCATTCCTGCTTTCTGTGGTCTGAGCACACTTGAAGTTCTGTCTTCTCTGGGAAGCCCACCCAGCTACGTTTGCTTGCCTTGCCTTTTAATCCGTTTGTCTCTTGTGTGTTGAGCAGGACCTCGGGAGAACTGTGGCTCTCGGGAACCAGAGCAGAGGAACATGGCCAGAACTACTGCTGACCGTCTGCACCCCGTGCCTCCCAAGCCCCTTCCCAGGCACAGTGTCCAGCATGTAGGTTCTCTAGGACTAAAGGCGGGCTGCCAGGGAGCTCCTGAAGGGTCCAGCCAGTGCTCAGGAGGTAAGATTCAGGGACTCAGCCATGCTGTGACGAGCTGATGTGTGAATTGTGTGCTGCCCAGCACATGTCTTTGCACCCACTGAAGGGGAGGCCGTTCTTGAACTGAAGTGTGCATGTGTGTGTTAGGGGTCTGGTTCTCTGTAGAGTTTGGACAGTTGTTTTTAGGACTCTGAGGCTAGGGTCTGGTTACTGCCTTATATCATGTGCCCACCCACCAACCCGGAGGATAGGCGACACAGTGTTGTGTGTGAAAACCAGCTTATTGTTAAGAGACAGGTACTAGCAGCTAACAAGTAAGTGCTGACCAGTGACTTAGAGGTACATAGAAAGCAGTAATTCCCTGGTTAGCTGAGTTTTTATTGCTAATTTCCAGACAACGTTGCAAATCACAGAGTTTGTTTTTCGTTTTTTTAGGTTATTCTGCTTTGTTTTTATTTTTTTGAAGCGGGGTCTCATTGTGTATCCCTGCCTGGCCTGGAACTTGCTTTGTAAACCACGTTGGCCTCGAACTCATAGACATCCGCCTTCCTCTGTCTCCCAAGTACTGGGACTAAAAGTGTGTACCACCACACCCAGCTCCCAGATACACTTAGGTGTGCTCTCTGATGACTTGGTTTGCAGTCAGGAGATTGGTGTTGAAGTGGCCTGGCAGAAATTAGGAAAGCAATGGCAGTCTCGCCCACTGAGAACTGTTGGAGCTGTAAAACATTGATGGGCAGCCTTGACAGGGAGTATTGAGTAGATGGGGTGACATTTGAATTTAGGGCACTCTAAAAGGGCATTGAGAAAACACTTGGTCACATAGCTTGGCAGTCTTGTCTACTCAGCAAGCCCTTTGGGACCATTGCGTATGTTACGACTTTATTCCATTACTTCATAGTGATGAAGTCACCTCAGGAAACATCAAATTATAGCAGGTTATGAAGATAGGAGAGCATGTGATAAGTCTTGGAGAGAATTCTTTTAAGACAGTTTTAAGGCATTTTAAAACTTAAAGTTTTCTGTTGTCTAGAAACCTTGTACTCAGAATGCTTTTCCCCTAGAATTGCGAACAGCTTGGGAGGCTTGTGTGTGGCATGAAAGGGCCAACGGTACAGTATGACACATAGCCAGTTGGTGGCCTGTACCTCAGCTCAGCCCTCTGTCCTCGCAGGTGATTTCATGCATGGCTTTTACTCTCACTGGCTTTTCTTTGAATTCAGAAATCTTTGCTTCCAGAATTACTACACAGCGCGACCGTATCGGCCACTGCTTTTCAGAACTGAAAAAAAAAAAGATCAGAAATACCGAGGGCCTTGCTGGAGTTGTAGCTCAGTGATAGTGCTTACCTGTCATTCAAGGCTTTGAGCTTGATCTTCTGCTCTAGAAAAACATTATAGATTGTTTTTTTTTCTAAATTGTTAGTTGTTCATGTTGTTAAGTAAACAGAGTAGGAGCAGAAAAGCCTGGGAGACCAGTAGGGCCTTATGGTAGGAAATTTTACTCAATACAGATCAATCATTTGTCAAATAATTACATTTTTGAGGCTTAAGCCAACACCATAATATAGTACTTGTCTTGCTGTTTTGAATTTGAGAGAGGGGGGCTCTTGTATTCTAATTTGTATGGTACTGGGGATTAAACCCGTATATGTGAGGCAAGCACTATACCAACTATATTACATCCCTAGCCCTCAGGACATGGCACTTGTAGCATCTCTGGGTAACACTTGTCTATTCTCAGGCCACACAAACCAACATCGCCTTTATAATGTGTGGAGAATCACAAGTGAAGCAATTGATGAGCTGCATCGGTCGCTGGAGTCTTGTCCCGGTGAAACAGCAGTGGCAGAAGACCCAGCTGGCCTGAAGGTGAGCCAGGAAGACTAACAATGTAGAGTACCCGGCACCCTGGAGAGAGCACAGTGAACCCATTGTTATTTGTAATGAGCTACTGGGGATGGAGATATATAAAACGAACGTGACCATCAGGCAAAGGTAAAGAGCGCCATGCTGCCAGGCGGTGCTGGTGCACGCCTTTACTCTCAGCCCTTGGGAGGCAGACAGGTGGATCTCTGTGAGTTCAAGGCCAGCCTGGTCTACAGAGCCAGTTCCAGGACAGCCAGGGCTACACAAAGTACCTCTGTCCTGAAAAACCTTAAAGAAAAGGTAAAAATAAAATAAAATAAAAGAGCACCTTACAGTGTGTCATAGGCCATATAAAGTTCCTAGGGAACTCAAGGAAAACATCTGTGTCAGTAAGTACTTTTATACCTTAAAAATAACAAAACAAATGCAGCTCTTTAGAGAACATCGAGGATAAATACAACACAGGACAGTGAGGGCAGAGACAGAGGTTAGTGTTGATGTTGGGTGGGTGTCATGACTGCCTGAGCTGGGAGGAGCAGGTCATGCTCCTGAGGGGGGCGGGTCCCTTGCCATACAGCCTGGAGACCTAGGTTTGAGTGGTTCAACATGCCCTGTTCACTTGTGACTTTATGAATGTTGTGAAAGTTTGTTCTCTCCCGGAGCACAGGGTAAACTGGAACACAGAAGACCTGGGAGGAAGTCACTAGTTAAAGGGCTAGTGTAGCTTGTGATTAGCAATGGAGACTGGGCTGCTGGGTAGAGAGGACAGTAAAATATAAGGATCATGAAGAAGAACAGAAAGGCTAGGAAAAGCCAAGGGACCATCAGAAGTGTGCTTGCAAGCATTAAAGCCTGACTTCTAATTGAGAAGACAAATAAGAACTTTTAGTGGGGGTGGAGACATGACCAGGAGCATCCTAACAGAGATGCTGAACATTAGCCACAGTGAAGGCTTCAGCAAAGCAGACAGGCGAAGCCAGCAGCTCATGATAACAGCTCACCTGTACAAAGGAGCAATAGAGTGAAGCCGGGGTCCCACATGGCCTCTTGTTAGGAATTCATTCTGATCTTTGACTTATTTTTGTCAGGTCCCTTTGCTACTGCACCAAAAACAAGCATTAGCCTGGTTACTGTGGCGGGAAAGTCAGAAGCCACAAGGAGGGATTCTGGGTAAGTTTGTTATTATGATAAGAGCTGACAGTTATGAGGTGCTCAGGCACTATGTTAACTGTGCTGCGGTGTTTCATTTGATGCTGTCACAATGTCACGAGGAGGATGCGTCCATTTTTCAGATGGAAAACTAAAGTGTAGAAGTGCTAAGAGCTTGGTTAAAAATTCATAGCATACCAAAGGAGGCATTGGCAGCCAACATCAGAAACTGCCTCTGACTAAGCCAGGGGTTTGTTCCCTTCAGGTCCCCACAACCTCTAGAAGCTGTGGAACATGAGACAGGGGCCCAGCCTTCCAGGAACACAGTCCAGAGCCACAATTACAAACTGATCGTGACGTTGCTCTGAGTGTTCAAAGAAGCTAAGGCCCCCAATGACAGCTCCATCTGCTTCGAGATTTGTAGTAGGACCTACAACACTCAGCCCATCCCATGGCCATGTCTTACACAGATCAAAATCAGCAGCGGCTCACAGGACAAAATCCTGGGAGTGCTCTTCTGAAGTCTTCCCCTAGTGGAGTCACATGGGTCATCATCCTAGTAGGAATTTGGACGATGTTTCCAACCAGAGAAGCATTTTGGAAACTCAGTGCCCAGGGAGTTTTCTAGGAGCCTGTAACATAGGCATTTTCATCCTGGTGGACACCATGATTCCATCCTCCAGAAGGAAAGGCAATGTCTGACCTAGAACAGTATTGTCTATACTAATGGTGTGCACAGTTCTGAAATGAGAGAGCCCTCCTTACATGTCACTTCCAAAGACTAGCCAAGGCCTGATGGGCGCAGGGCTACCAGAAGTAGCTATGCCGCTGCCCATTTTGACCCCCGCCCTGTGGCAGGGACAGAATGTGAATCATAGCTCATGCAAGCACATTTTACTTCTGCTGGATCACAGTGGTTATCTTTTGTTTTGTTTTTTGAGACAGGGTTTCATTGTGTAGGCTTGATAGTCCTGGACTCACTTTGTAGACCAGGCTGGCCTCAAACTCACAAAGATCTGCCTGCCTCTGCCTCCCCGAGTGCTGGGATTACAGGCATGCACTGCCGTGCCTGCGCCTGGCTCCCACAGTGGCTATTTTGAATGATTACAGGAGCCTAATGAGTGAACCTGATGAGTTTCACATATGGAATGAAAAGTACGTTAAGCAAACTCAATGGCTAGCGCAGGGACTGTGCACAGCTCAAGAAGTGTCAGGGCCAGTGAGCTGGCTCAGCAAGCAAACACTTGTAAAAGCCTGGTAACCCGAGTTTGATCTTTAATGGAAGGAGAGGGCTGGAGAGATGGCTCAGAGGTTAAGAGCACTCCTGGTGGCTCTTCCAGAGGTCCTGAGTTCAATTCCCAGAAACCACATCGTGGCTCACCATCTGTAATGAGACCTGGTGCCCTCTTCTGATGTGCAGGCACACATGCAGACAGTATGTGTAATAAATAAATATTAAAAAAAAAAGGTAGAACTGACCCCACACGTGTGCCTTGGCATGTGATGCGTGTGTGCATGTACACACACACACATGTACACATGCACACAGGCATACGACTATATATGACGAAGTGTTCCGTTACGGCCTTTGGAGAAAGGAAGTGCATGAAGTGCTGGAACTGTGGCATCCTCAGGAGAGCAGGTGATAGGATCTGTTAGTAGACAGTTTTGCTTGGGGGAATAACAGAAAGACCAGGCACCATCCTGAAACTGCAAAGGAGTCAGCCGAGCCACAGTCAGATAAACTCAGAAAGAGTAAGATCTGTTATATGCTGAGTATCTGACCTCCATCTCCGTGCAGATAGCAAGAGAGCGTCTTTACAAAAACAAAGACCCCCCTGGGTGGGGAGCAGCTAGAGATAAGGAGGAGTCCTGAAGTCATGGTGGTCCTTTGTGTCTTATTTCCAGCGGATGACATGGGCTTAGGAAAAACTCTGACAATGATCGCACTCATCCTAACCAAGAAGAATCAGCAGAAAAGCAAGGAGAAGGACAGAAGCATGCCTGTGACCTGGCTCTCCAAGGATGGTAGGTGGACGCGCCTTCTCCCATTGCCAACCTTATCTGAGCCAGCAGAGGCAGCTGGCTATGGAAGGAGATCTGTGGTGCCATCTAACTAATCTTATAAAACCAGTATTGACCACTTTTCCTGTGTGATTTCTTATGCTGAGTGTGCCATTTATTTCTTTCCCTTTTATTTAAACTTACCTTGATTTGGGATTTAAAAAGTTTTAAAGTTTAAAAGTTTTAAAGGAGGTAGGTAAGCTCTTGAATAGTTAGTAATTAGCATTTTCCGTTCATGTTGGGGATAAACTCCCACATAGATCCAAATTAATATACTTTTTAAAAGGTGCATATTCAACTTATTTCTTAATTTGCTTTAAAAATATAGCTTCATGCATATTTCACGATGCTATATGTTATCTGTAAATACTGTGTGAATTACTGTGAACGTGAGCATAAGTCGTGCTTTGCTTATATGGGGAGAAGCATGTGGTTCACTCTCAGGGCTCCTGGTAAGCACTGTTGCAGCTGGACCCTTCACACAGCATGGAGCAGCACACACACACACACACACACACACACACACACACACGGAGATGAGGAGTGATGGTACTAAGTTAGTACTGTGTCACTACTGTGTTTCAAATTACATTTGCTTATCTTGGAAAAGGCTTTTTCTCCTTACATAAGGGCTCTATTTAACACACAGTAATTTGTATTTATATTTTAATGTGGCAGTACATTATGGTTGTCATAGAGAAAACAAACGAAACAATAACTCCCTCAAGTGAATCCTCTCAGGAGGCCTTAGGAAAGGGCCTCTTTCCACTGCTGGCCACTGTGAGAGAGCATTGCTTTTTAGACCAGGTCACACACTGCCTACTGTCCTTTCTTTAGCTCATTCTAAAGTAAATAATTGTTTGGTTTAAAAGACCATCTCTTCCATTTCCTGTTCTACTTGCTTATTGTAGAAATAAAACACCAGTTAAGCATACTGACTGAAGGGGTAAAGTCAGTCAAGAGAAAGTTAAGGCTCAAGGCTGTTCAGTGAACATAACTAGGTATTGATCTGTCCCTCCAGACTCCTCTGTCTTCACTTCCAATGGAACACTAATTGTCTGCCCCGCCTCCCTGATCCATCACTGGAAGAATGAGGTAGAGAAACGTGTGAGCAGCAACAGACTCAGAATCTGCCTCTACCACGGGCCAAACCGGAATCGGCACCCCAAAGTGTAAGTCTGAAGTGCTTTGACAGGTCTGCATCCCACCTAAGGAGCCCTTTTGCCTGTCTGCTTGCCCGGTTCTTCTCTCTGCCAGCGCTAGCCCTATATGTGGAGACTGAGGCCGGTCTCAATCTCACTCTTGGACAGCTTGCCCTCAGCACGACTCAGGGCTTAGTGGTTTCACTTTGCCACGGGCTGGCCACTCTCTTGAGCCAGAGCTGCAATGGGGGGTGGGGTGGGGAGAGCTTGCAACCCCTGACGTGCTTGCTAGGTGGCAGCCATCTTCCCTGCTAAACCCTGGAGAATGAGGGAATGTCATGGTCTCTCCTGGGCCTTGAAGGCCTGAATCTAGACCTCATCTTCCCTGAGTGGGAAAGGAAGCAACCACTCTTAGACGTCCTCTTGGTAGCATTCTGTCCTTTACCTGCTGTAGGCTGTGTGGGAGTGTGGGTGTGTATGGCTGTATTTTCATATACAGACTATTCAATAAGTTTACATGGGAGAGAGTTTTAAATGCAGAATTTTTAGACTTAACTGAAAATTCTTGAAAGGGGATGCTTGGGAGGGAGAAAAGATGGACCCCAGGTGGCAGTGTTTACTTTTGGTTCTTCAAAGCATTTTTTTTTTTTTTCCTTTTCAGTGGTAGGGATTTAATACCTTGAGCATTCTGGGTAAGCACCCCACCACTGAGCTTCATCTAGACCTGCCTGTTAATTTAAAAGAACTGTTGTGTGTTTTTGATTGGGATAAGAGGATCTGAGGCAAATACTTGGGACAGGAGCATTGTTCCTTCTGCATTGATGTTCTCTCCAGCCTTTGCTACTGGGTACTTTGTGGCCACAGAACAGCAGTCAGTTACCAGATTGGTGGCTTTTGATTTTTAGTATGTATTTTTTCAGGGTTTATTTATTTTTTAATTTTAAAGATATATTTAATGTGTATGAGTGGGACATATGCATGCCACATGCATGCAGGGCCAGCAGAGGGCACCAGATCCCCTGGAACTGGGGATACAAGTAGTTGTGAGCCATGCAGTGTGCTGGATACCAAGCCCTAGTCCTCAGTGAGAGCAGCAAGTGCTCTTCACCCTGAGCCATCTTTCAAGGCAGACAACACATTGTATGGGTGCTCTCATACTCAGTGCAGTAGAGGCAGGGCTGCAGCCTGAGCTCTGCATGCTTACTTGGGAACAGTTGGAGCTCACTCGATGTACACTTTGAACAGAACAGGCTTGTCACTCAGAAGGCACCACTCACTTACATTTGATGCTGCGGTTGCAGGTGGAACTGCCGCTTGGAACTAGGTGTATCGTTTTACCAAAATGATTTATTGTTGTCTCTTAGGGACACGAAACTAAATCTATTCGAATAAAATCTGTGTCTTTAATAAGAATCTTTGTGTGTAAATAAAAAAGGTGAGCTGAAAGCTTACTACATGTAAGTTGATGGGTTTTCCACAAATCTATTGTGAAGTGGTAGCAGGAAGGTACCTTTGGCATGGGGTTGAAAGTGCTTTGAAGGTTTCTTTCCTTCCTTCCTTCCTTCCTTCCTTCCTTCCTTCCTTCCTTCCTTCCTACCTTCCCTCCTTCCTTCCTTCCTTTCTTTTTTGAGAGTTGAGCATCACCCACTTCAAGTCATTAAATATCAGCTTCCAGCCATGTCCTACTTTGTGTTCTGATCAGGTCATAGCAAACCTAGTATGACTACAGCTAGAGATTTTCTTTTCTGACTCCCCATATGGCTGGCTATTGTGAACAGACTATAGTACAAATGATCACATTGGTAAGAGATAGGGAATCCACCTCTCATATCACACACACACACACACACACACACACACACACACACACACACACATATACAGGAAAGAGACATAGAGAGAACACATGTATCTACCAAGGACATAATTAGTCCGTGTCAATTCTGCTGTCTTTCCTTCCCTCCATACAATCTGTTTTGTTTTCACAGTACTGGGAGTTGAACCCAGAACCTTGAGCAGACTAGGCAGACACCCAACCACTGAGCTGTTCTTTCTCCCCAGCTCCCTATGCCTTTTTATAAAGAAGTCACCTGAGCCTCTGGCAGGCTCCAGGAGGAATTGCTTACTGTTTGCTTCATATGGTATCCCCGCAGACTTTCTACGTATGACATCGTGATTACTACTTATAGCCTTCTGGCCAAGGAGATTCCCACAACAAAGCAAGAGGGAGAGATCCCAGGAGCAAACCTCAGTGTGGAGGTGAGGCTTAGGGATGCCCCGGAGGGCAGGTAGAGCCACACATAGTCTAATGGGAGAGATGGCAAAGGTGTCTTCCTGCAAGGAGAAGATGGTTCCGGATACTCCACCTGTGGAAATGAAGCCTTCTTCCCACTGCTCTTTCGTATCCCAGTGGTAAATCAGTTCTTGGCACAGAGTTCAGCTATGTGTTTTAGCACTAAAGAAACGTACACTGTGTTTGTGGTAGCAGTAATCACACATGAATGCAGAAGAGTCTGCTCACTCTTTGCATCTTTGTGTGGGGTATACTCTCTTGTAATTTTTGTTTTGTATGCATTAACCTGTTACTGTCTGCCTTTCCTCTGCCTCCAAGGAAAGAGCCTTGCAAATAATAGGGCTACAGATGGGCCAGAGGCTAAAAAATAACCTTCAGGTATTCTTTCTTTATAGGCAGAGACTTGGGTAGCTGTCTTATAGGCTTTGTTGTATAAGTTTGTTGGCCTTCATCCTCTGATTACATTTTTCTCTCTTGCTAGAGTTTGCACTCTTTGAGGGTGTGAACTGGCCTTATGTTTTTGACTGAGCATCTTATAACTAAAAACAGATGTGTAGTAAGGTTTGTTTTTTTTTTGTGTGTGTGTATGTGTGTGTGTAGTAAGGTTTAAGACATTTAGTAAATATTTTACTGAATGAATTTTCAACCTTATGCCTACTGTATTCCTGGCCAAACATTGTTAATATTGCTGCTGAATGTGGGTTGACAGAACAAATGAAAACTCAGATTGCAAAGCATTTTACCGTTAGGTACATTAAGTCCAGAGACAGACTGTTAAGTGGCCATTTATTTGAACTTGTTGAGAGGTTCTGCCCTTGGTTTCTGAATGTAGTTCAGTGGAAGGGCCTAAGCAGATTACAGGGGTCAGGGCAGGTCCTCAGTACTTATGTTCATGTCCCCTCACCTCCTTGAGGACACGGCCATGTTCCCATACTGGTGTTGGATATCACTTTGTTCCTTGTAGGGCATCTCGGCACCTTTGCTTCAAGTAGTCTGGGCTCGAATCATATTGGATGAAGCTCATAATGTGAAGAACCCTCGAGTGCAGGCATCCATTGCTGTGTGTAAGCTACAGGCGCAGTCCCGGTGGGCTGTCACTGGAACCCCCATTCAGAACAACCTGCTGGATATGTATTCACTGATGAAGTGAGTAAGCTCTTTGGGGTCATGTTAATGTGCGCCCCGCCCCTAGCTTGTAACCCATCATCATTATTTCATGTCACATGATGAAGCTGGACACACGTGGTGTGTCCAGATTAGCTTGTATGGCAGGTAGCCAGCTTTAAAGGCAAAGAATGAATATTCATGAGAAAGTATCAATTCACAGGCTGATCCCAGTATTTCATATTTACACAAAAATATAGAGCAGCTTGCATTAAAGGAAACTAAGGTCATTATTCTTCAGCTCAGTGGCTGTTTTAGGCTACTTAGCTTTAAAGTACAGGGACTGGGGCAGGGTTGCAATTTATTTGAGGCAAACAGAAAGAAGGCTAATTTTTAAATGCTAACTTTTTTCAAGTGAGGCCATAAAAGGCTTTGAGATTTCTTTGCTAACTTTGATGCTTTAGTAATAAATTCTAGCTGTCCGTTGTTTGTCCTGTTGTGACTGTTTTACAGTGCTCATGTAAAATGCATGATTTTACAATCTAATTTTCCTTACTGACTTGGGTGCTTTTGGCCTGTAGCAGACATTGCTATGGAATTCATTTTCAGATGGGCTAGGATGATAGGGGTAACGGTTCTGACATGTTTTCATCTCTGAACATTTATCCCATCCTCTTCCATGTCTCCTTTCCTGATCTATGTTTTTCCTGGCCCTGAAAAAGGTTTCTTCGCTGTTCCCCATTTGATGAGTTCAGTCTTTGGAAGAGTCAGGTTGACAATGGTTCAATGAAAGGAGGAGAACGGTTAAGCATTTTAACCAAGAGCCTTTTGCTGAGGAGAACAAAAGACCAACTGGATTCCACTGGTAAACCTTTGGTAACCAGATTTCTACCTCTCCCCCGGAGGCCAGGGAGGGCAGGTGGCCAGGACCTCAGGTGGATCAGCCTCTCAGTGAGGGGCCTCCTTCTGAGGAGACTCTTAGCGTGGCCCCTGGTGCTATGTTAGCTCAGTCCTTTCCAGGGCCGTGGGGGCCTGGTGCAGAGGGCCAGCGTGCTAAGGGGATAGCTCGAAAGTGTTCAGCAGTTTGCAGAGCTTCATACCAGACTCCTGTCATTCCTCCAGGTGCCACTGCCCCTGCGAAGATGTCAGCTGCACCATTTAAAGCTTTCTGAGGACGAGCGGGCTGTTTATGATGTCTTTCTTGCAAGGTCAAGGTGTGTGCCATGAAGAAGCACCTTCTCTTGTGCTTTCTTCTCCTTTCTCGGCTTGATGAGTCTAGGCTTAGATTCCGTAAGTTTCACATACGACACTAACAAATTACATCTTTATTTTCCAGAGAACCCCCAAACTCTATTTCTTTTTAATTCCCTTTTTCCTCACTCCCTTCTCCTTCTCTTATCTCTGACTCTCATGCACACTGAAGGCAGAATTTTGACCCTACTTTTAATTGGCTTCTTTACATAGAAATTGGAGGGTGTGGAATCTGTCTGCTTTTTTTTTGGGGGGGGGGCTATATTGGATAATGACTCTCTTTGACCTTTGACCCACCACTGATCATCTCACTGGAGCTTAAATAAAAAGCAGCTTTGTAATCTTTAATATTGTTTGTTCTTTGCACTTTCTCCAGAACTCTTGTTCTCAGAATTCTCCGTTTGCTCCTTTCTGTGTGGCACTTTTTTTTTTCAAGAAGATTATACTTTATACTTACTCTGCACTCTTCAAATTTTTTGTTTTGTAAATAATAATAATTGATTATTGCTCTCCTTATGGCTCATGTCTGCTGTAAGCTGGACATCATTTAGCCAGTGCATTCTCTATCCTGCCCAGGCCCCACCTGGAGTTAAACAGCAACCACTATGAGCAGTGGTTGTAACGTGTGTGCTTCCTTTTTGATCTGAGACAGGTCAGCGCTCCAGTCCTATCTAAGGAGGCAAGAAGGCAGAGGCAGTCACCCTGGAAGAAGTCCTGATAACCCATTCAGTAGAGGTAAGCCAGGGGACACTCAAGTATGTATAGCTGCTGAAAGTGGGAGTTTTAGCCATTAAAATAACAGACAGGTTACGGGCCCCAGATCAGGGAGACCACATTTTATCAAAGCCTGTTGAGCCAGAGAGAAATACACTGACCTGAAACCATAAGGACTTCTTTTTGCTTTCTAAATCTGCATTAGGAAACACAAAGAGGCCAACAGAAAACCTAGTATTTCATGACTTCAGAAAAGAATGTTATAGGGCTGCCAAGAAGTCTCAGTTGGGGACAGTGCTTGGCACCAAGCCTGATGACCTGAGTTCAATCCCTGGGCCCCGTGTAGTGGAGGGAGGGTAGGGCTGACTCTGCAGGCCATCTTCTGACCTCCACATGAATACCTTGGCACACATACCATCCCAACCCCAATGTTTTTATTTTATTTTATTTTTCTTTTTTTGAGACAGGGTTTCTCTGTGTGCCTTGACTGTTCTGGACTCACTTTGTAGACCAGGCTGGCCTCAAACTCATAGAGATCCTCGTGCCTCTGCCTCCTCAAGTGCTAGGATTACAGGTGTGCACTACTGCGCCCAGCTGTTTTTTGTTTCTTGTTTTCCTTCTTTTAAAGTATGTTACAGCTAAATTATTGAACCTCAGATCAAAAAAAGTTTAAATAGCCTCAGTCAGTTCCCAGTTTCCTGTCTTAACCCTTGCATTGTCTCCTGGGGCTTGTCTTGTCTCTTGGAAGTGGCTCAGGAGTTCGGGTCCAGTGTGCCCCGGCGCCCCGCTGCAGCAGACTCACAGAGACCCAGCACTGTCCACGTCCTGTCCCAGCTCCTGCGGCTTCGCCAGTGCTGCTGCCACCTTTCTCTACTGAAGTCGGTGAGGGAAGGCTCTAGTCTGTTGTCACCTCTATAGTCAAGGAGAGGCTGGTCTGGAGGGCCCCTCTGTGGGATGGCGAAGGGACTTCCTTCTTACACTTGATCTGATCTTAATGTTTATTCGTTCTCATGATTTCCAAGGCCCTGGACCCAACAGAGCTGGAGAGTGAAGGCCTCGTCCTGTCCCTGGAAGAACAGCTCAGCGCTCTGACCTTGTCCAGAGTCGACGTCTCAGAGCCCTCACCCACGGTTAGCCTTAATGGCACGAGCTTCAAGGTGGAGCTTTTTGACAACACACGAACGAGCACCAAGGTACTTTTGTCTCAGAGAGACGGAATTACCTTCTTTCCTGCGTTGGATACCTCAGTTGTGCTCATGGGAAGAGCCATGTAAGAGCAGAGTTAGACGGTCAGAGTTGCATTCCCCTCTAGTCTTAAAGCCTCACTTTGTCACAAAGAACCCTAAGCCTTCATGGTGGGCTTTGGGAGAATGACTTGGGACAGCTCTCATTAAGGTAGATTCTCTATCACAGATTACTAGTCAGGGCTGCCAGTGCTAGGAACGGGGAGTGAGCCCCTGCAGTTTGTCCAGGGAAAGCTTGGAAGGAAAAGCTTGGTTGCTGTGTCCTTGCCTCGTGCTCAGCTGATGTTTGTTCACATGGTCTCTCCACATGAACCTATGAGTGGATTCAAACCATGATAGGCTTCATGTAAGCAGGGAACAGCTTAAAGCCTGCAGAGCTCTTCTGCTTCTGTGAGTGTCAGGCTAGAGCCTTCCCTCCTCCAGCAGTGGTGTAGAGGACTGGAGTACAGGAGGGAACCAAACACGCATGGCGTTCAGAGCATCTGCTATCCTGAAAGCAGAGGATGGTTACCAAGCGATGACGGTGTAGTATGATCAGAACCGTGACAGTAGAAACAGAGTGGAGCGCAGTGCAGTTGGCACATAGCCCACACTGAGCTGGGGAGGCTTTCAAAAAGTAACACCCATGATACCCCAGCAATATACCCAACCAAGTCCCGAACAATGACAATACCAAATAGACTTGCTAACGTGGAAGTGGGAATCTCACAGGGTCCTACCCCTAGCAAAGAACTGTAGGCAGCCAAAGACTGCTGCTTAGACATGAGGCAGCCTCTCCCAGGGAGGAGGCCCCTAAGTAGTTATACAGTTCAAAGTAGTTAGCCTGAAATCATACATACACAAGCCAGACTAAACAGACTAAGTCGGTTAGACTTACATAATTGCGTGTGTGCATATAACAAGGATTAAAAAAGAGGCCATCAATTTAAGAGGAAGTAGGGGGGTGCATGGGAGAGATTGAGGCAAAGAATGGCCAAGAGAAAGTGATGTAATTATATTTTAATTAAAAATTAGTAAAAAAAAAAAAAAAAAAAAATTCTGAAAAAAAACATGACGTTAAGCTGACACCGAAAATGATATTCTCAAATAGAGGGAACAGATGTGACCTATTGAATAAAGGATTTCTGTATGATTGATGTGTTCTTTGAGGAGAGCATAGTGAGGCATGACCAGCTCAGAGGGCCGAGCGGCGTGGACCCAACAGGTCATTTTAGAGGCTTGGGCTTTATCCTCAGTGGAAAGTCACGGAGAGGAGGAGGGCAGCCAGCTTACATTGAAGAAATGGCCTTCTGGCTGTAGGAGTGGGAGTAGACAAGCCAGGCCACAGGCTGTCCAGAAAATTGCTTCTGTAATTTAGGGAGAGAAGAGGAAAGAAAATGGCTTAAACTGCACTGTTATGTGGCTTTTCCCAGGTGTCCTCTCTGCTGGCAGAACTGGAGGCAATCCAAAAAGGCCCAGGGTCCCAAAAGAGGTAAGCATCATGTCACTCCTTCTGCAAGGGAAGTTGATGTTTGTGATGCTCTAAAGTCACACCCCGCAGAATGCTCTGAGGTTATGGTATAAATTCCTGTAATTTCTAGTTAGAATAGTTTACGTTGAACAGGATCCCTGGCTTACCACACACCCTGAGGATCTAGGTAAGGTGGTACCTGAAACAGTAAAAGAAGAGAGACTCATGGGAGGGGAGCAGGAAGTGACAGTCCATAACTCAAACAGGGAGCATCGCAGGGCTGTTTCTGAGCTGCTCAAGCTGGGGCTTAGGGTCGAGCGGCTTTGTTTTGTCCTTTGCTGTGCTGTCACGTGTAAAACACATGCACAGAAACATCTTTATTACACAAATGTGTCTGTCTGTATGAAGTGGTTTCTTATAAAGTTGCTCAAGCTCTGGTTAAGACATGTTTGCGGTGAACAGCCTAGCAGCTGTTCTGGTGGTCACAGGACGATTAGCTAGTGTCCCTTTTCTGCAGGACCATGGGTTTTTAGATGACCGCTAGAACCCCAGACAAAATACAGCTGGGGCTGTATTTTACTTTATTTTACTTTAGCCTTGCCAGTCCCTCTTTTCTGACTCTGACACTAAGTAAGAGTGGAGCTTCTGAGTAGAGAGCTCATGAACTTAAATGACCTTAAGCATGACCTTAAATCGTGCGCCTGTATTAGTTTCATGTCACTACTGTGAAAGGCCTCACGGGTGGCACTTAGAAAGCAGACAAGTTGTGTGTACCTCAATGGGAGCTCTGGAGGCTCCCATTGGCTCAGGCTGAAGGAGTAAATGGCATTAGCAGGGTACACATCCAAACAAGCAGTCACGTGTCAAGGCAGGAAGAGGTGAGATCTGCAGTCCCCTTAGAGGACTGCCTCCCCCAGACTCTACCTCATAACCATTCACAGCTCCCCACAACACTGCCACCCGAGGATCAAGCCTTTACACACAGGTCTTTGGGGGACACTATTCGAAGCACAGCATGATCTTGCTCTTCAGGTAACAGGCATTTGTCCTGTGTGCATTTTGTAACTAATCTTGACAGGAGCAGCGTTCCCGCTGCAGAGGAGACTGCTTAATCTTTTGGTGTCTGTTTCTGCTTTCTTTCATTTCCTCCTCTCTAGTGTCATTGTCTCCCAGTGGACCAGCATGCTACAAGTGGTAGCACTGCACCTCAAGAAGCGCCAGCTGACGTATGCCACCATCGATGGCTCTGTCAAACCCAAAGAGAGAATGGACTTGGTGGAGGCGTTTAACCACTTCCGGGGGCCTCAGGTACAATCTAGGCACAGCAGGCCTGTGCAACCAAGGAGCAAACTGTTCGTAGTTACAGAGCAGCATAATGTAGCAATTCAACTTAAAAAATACTCAGTCTTGATCCTTCCAAATGTTTATAATTTTTTAGACATTCATTAAGGGTCCTTACCAAAATGCACGAGTGCTCTAAAGAGAATAACTTACAGCGACTGACCTGAAGGGTCCACAGAGCAAGTTGGAATTGCAAGAATCTTTGTAGAGGAGGAAGCCTTGCTTTTTATGAGATGTGGGAGAACAGGGCTGTGTCATAGCTAAGAGGGATTTAGGAAGCACTAGCTGAATGGAAGGAAGGATACTTCAGCTGGGGGTTGGGGGCTTAGTCTTAAGACTAGTCATAATTTGGTTAACACAGAGTTGGCCAGCCAGGAGCCGAAGTACAGTGTTCGTATGTTTTGGCAGACTGTTTTTTTGAGGCTGACCCTCATGTGAGATGTGAGATTTCTTTTAAAGGTGAGGTATGAGAAATGGCATCTTAATGTTTCAAAACATTACACTGGAGGAGGTTCGAAAGGAACGTGCTTCTTGTGCTTCCTGACTTTCTTGAACTAGAGACAGAAAGACACTGGGTAGCCCTCTTTCTGTCCCTACAAGTACCCACCATAAAGACAAAGGAAAGGGCTGCTTTTGGCTTGTGTTTCGGGGGGTGTCAGTAGTCTATGGTTAGCAAGCCCTGCTTTAGGGCTTCTCATGGGAGCCTATCATGGCGGGAATGTATGGAAGGAAGCAACCACACATATCAGCAAGGAAGTAAAGAAGAAAGAGTCAAGGGCCAAGGCCCCATTATACCTTTCAAAGGAAGTAGAAGTTCCCAGTGATCTGAAGAGCAATAGTACCAACCCCATAAAGATTCCACCACCTCTGACCTAGCACCATGACGGGGACCAAGCCTTTGCCGCTTGGCTTTGGGGCACAGAAGACCCAGCCTACGGCAGATGTTTTAAAGAGCAAATGGGTGAAAGCTAATTTTCTGTTTCCTTTCAAAGGTGATGCTAATTTCCCTCTTGGCTGGCGGTGTTGGACTCAATCTGACTGGAGGAAACCACCTTTTCCTTCTGGACATGCACTGGTAATGTCAGGATTTTCCTGTCACAGCACAGCAGGGAGAGCAGTGGTAACAGGGCCGCAGCCTGAGGGTGCCTTTCTAGAATGTCATGGAGAAATTGTGCGTCACCTGTCAAAGTGCTGTGTAAGGCTGGCTGACACTCCAGGACTGCTGAGTGAACATTTCATGACGGCCTCAAGTAGTTCATGATTTTATTAACTCTTTAAAAATATCTAGCATCATTTTCCCCATAAGAACAAGGCGCACAGGTACCTCTCACGACTAAGAGCTGTATCGCTCTTGTTGGTGCCTCTGGCATACCATTTTCCAGACATAGTTGTTGAAGAATCAGGGAGGCCGCAACCTTAGAAGCCTTAGTCCAGGAGAAAGAAGAGGGGTTTCTAATTCTAATGGTGGCAAGGTCACATGTTGCTAGGTGGAGTCTCACAGTGCCAGTCTCTGATGCTCAACCTGGCAAACTGGGACTGCTGCCACCGGCTTTGTCTTGTTCTGCAGTGCTGTGGCCTGAGCCCAGGGCCTTGCACACTTATCCCGCCTTTCCTTCTTACTCTTTACCCTGAGATGGGGTTTCACTAGTAATGCAAGCTGGCTTTGAACTTGTAGTGTCCAGGCAGGCCTGGCATTTGCGGTCCTCCCGCCCCAGTGCTGTAAAGAGCTGGCACTTCAGGCCTGTACCATCATACTTTTTGTTTTTACCAGGCACTGTTTCTGGAATGACATGTCTGATTCTCCACACAGCCTCAGCTGAGACAAAGAGGCCAGCTTGCTCAGTCTTGTGGAGAATGTGTGTAGATTTACTTAGGATTACTAACACATACAGAGAAGTGAGAAAAATATACTAGGCATTACATCAGTTTTGAGATGGAGAAATACTATCCTGATTCTAAAGAGGTAAGATGAGGTTAGTTTAGAGTTGAGAATGAGAATTTCTACGGATGGGAACAAATTGACTTCACTGAACACAAAAGTTGAAAGAAATATTTGAGACTCTTAACTAGCTCTTAGGTTCCAAGGAGGTTCTGAAGCCTGGAAGGTGTGGTTAGGTAATCTGTTGTGGTCATCCAGCTAGTAAAGGCTGGGTGGGTGTCCAGGTTTCCTTTCTGTTCCTTACAGGGACTGACTGAGGACAGTGGTAAGAATCATTAGGAGTCTGTCTCAGATTCTCAGTAGTGGGTAAAAGATACGGGCCTTTCAGGTCAGTGCCTCCTAGAATAGGCTTGATGAACATCTGTAAGCATTTCAGGCTTTGCAGGGCACATAGGTCTCTGTTGCACATCCTTTTGGTGTGTGTGTGTGTGTGTGTGTATTTAAGCCCCTTTGAAAATGTAATGACTATTTTTAGTTAAAGAAACATACAAAAGTAGACTGTGGTCTAGACCTGGCAGTAGGCCATGGTTGTCAGGACATTGGTGTTTCTGAGTTATACCTCCCCTCTAACAGGAATCCCTCACTTGAAGACCAAGCTTGTGACCGGATTTACCGAGTAGGACAGGAGAAGGATGTTGTCATACACAGGTAAGCAAAGGCGCCAGGCCCCTTCTGCACATCTTCCTTTGTGAAAGCCTTTCCTAGGAGTGTTTGCATAGAATAGGTGCTGTTCAGTGATCACAGCACTGATGATGGTCCACAGGCATACCTGAGGAGCTCTAGTCAGGAAGGGAAGAAGCAATCTGAGGTAACCTGTTGGTCGTGCCAGAGAGCAAGCGTATTGGTGATAAGCCACAGGTCAAAAAGGAGGCAACTGTGAAAGCCTGCTCCCTGTCTATCCCTTCCCCTTGTCTTTTTTAACTCTTAGTATGGCATAATCTCTGTCATACAGAAAAGAAGGTTTCTGTGTGGGGGTGTCGAGGTGGGGGGGGTGTCTGTGTGTGTGTAAAGTGACCAACATCAGAATGTTAACATCACTGTAATACTAGCCTGACCAAGCACAGTGGTGTCCTTCACACCCGGAGCTCCCACATCTTGTGTAGCATTTGGTTGTCATGACTTTGTATCCTTTAGTCTGACACATAGTGCCCCATTCTCTGATTTTTGGCATTGACTTTGAAGCGCACAACCTGTTACTTTGCAGAGTGCCCATCTATGGGGTCCCTCATGCCTTGAGGAACAAAAGGACGTGTCTTACAGCTGCAGTCTCCTCTTGCCATGGGCCTGTTGCATGACTGGGTCCAGTGCTGTCCACCCCGTTTCTTATAAGCTGCCCTTGTCAAGGGTCACCAAAGACCTCCAAAATTTGCCAAGTTCAGTGATAGTTTTCCTGTCTTTAGCTCTCTTCTCTGCCATTCCATATTTTCCTCCTTTAATTATATCACTCCAGTGAGTCCCAAACCTGTATTTTTAGTTCCACTGTCTCCTGAACTACCAACCTGGATATCTAGATAGATCCCTGCCAAATACCTAAACCTAAGTGTGCAAGTACTCATCCACCCTCATTCATCCTTTGTACATTCAGACACCAAAATGAACACTTACTGAGTGCCCGAGTGTGCCAAGTATAATTATACTCTCCAGGATAAAAATGTCAATCTGAAATCTGTTTCCTACTGCCTCAGTATATGTGTGTGTGTTGTCTGTATGAACAGCACCCAGCCAGAAACTATACTCTCTTCTCCCTCCTCCCACGCCAAGGCCTCCCGTTGTATTTTCTAGACTGCTAGCCATCCTTTCCTTCCATCCTCACTGCCAGCTCCCTTTCCAGCTCTGCTGATTCTTGTCCTCTGCACTGCCAGCAGAGGGCTCTTCCTGACGGGCCTGCTGGGACCTTCTTCCATGGCTCACTTCCTGTAGATTTACTCTCAGTGTCTTGGCGTGTCCGGGACAACCACTGAGGGTTTGGCCCACACCTCCTGAACTCCTGCCTCTAGGAGCCTTCACTGGACAGCATGATCTTCAGTTAAACATACCATGTTCTGAAGCTCAGCCAGTTTGCACATGTTCTCATTTCCCTAGGATGTGTGCCCTCTCTGCCATCCCATCTAGGTCATCTTCCTACCACACACTGAGTTAGCCATAATAGAGTCTGCCTTCACTGCACTACACAGATTGTCTTTGTAGCCTGGTTACACGCACATTCTGTTATTTCCCATAGGACACGGTATATGTATAGATCAATACATACATACTTAGTTGGTACTTGAATGACAGTAGGGGACTTCTTCAATTTGAATAGCCCGGTTATGGTATGGATTAGCTAAGAAGATAGACACTCTCCACTTAAACACATACAGACACTCTCAGAAGCTTGACCTTTGAGGCCTTCTGACCTTGTCAAGATAAAGTTTGGGTAAAAGCTGGGCCTCTGTATTTGTTTTAGGTAGAAATACCTTCTGTAGTTACCCTCACTTCAAAAAGAAAGGAAGTCTGAGGTATATCACTATAAATGGATATATGTAATAGAAGTTATATGGATTTTCGGCTCTGGTAATCACAGGGAAACATAAACAGTCCTCTTTAAAACTGAAGGGACATGAATGCATGCTTCGGTAAGCTCCTTGGACTCTGATGTTTATTATCATTTGTGCTTAGGTTTGTCTGTGAGGGGACAGTGGAAGAGAAGATCTTACAGCTCCAAGAAAGAAAAAAAGATTTAGCCAAACAGGTTCTTTCGGGATCCGGAGGCTCTGTCACCAAGCTTACACTGGCTGACCTGAAGATCCTCTTTGGCATCTAGCTTCCTCTGCTGGTGCGGGTGTGTACTAGGCTCTGGAGTGATGCTCTCTCCCTGCTCCTGGAGCCTTAGATTTGGTCTTATTCGAAGTGAGGTATGCTTCTATGCCAAGGACTGAAAAGGATGGTCACTATGTTAGCCATCTGTTTAGTCAATCACGTTTGTCATTCAGCTTGTTGTTATTTCAGATTTAAGCCTGGCAGGAGGTACATGCCTATAATCCCAGCACTTAAGAGGCAAGAAGATGGAGGGTTCCAGGCCAGCCTGAGTTACAGACTCTGTCAAAACAAACCACAAAAGTGCTTTGAAAGCCAGTCATGGAGTCCATAATTATAATTCCCAGCACTCGAGAGGCTGAGGAAGGATTGTGAGTTAGAGGCCAGCTTATATTACAGGGAAAATTCCAGGCCAGCCTGGGCTACAGAGTGAGATCATGTCTTAGAAAAACAAAAACAAACCAACAAAAGCTTTGGTGTTTGATGGTCTGGGAAGATAAGTCTGGAAGAACTGTACAAATGCTTTGGTAAGGCTCAGCAAGTCAATCCACACACAGTGACAAATGCCTATAATCCCAGCACTTTGGAGGCAAAGGCAAGAGGATCTTGACTGAGGTTTGCCTGACTTAACATAGTGAGTTCTTTGGCAACCTGAATTACATGGTGAGACCCTATCTGTCAAACAGCCTCAAAGCCCCATGTTGCCACATTGTTGGCTGATGGTCCAGGCAGGCTCAGGGTCAAGATATTTCACATATAAACAGATATTGAGTACTTATCATTGTATCATCTAATATCTGTCATTTAGCCTGTGTATCACTGTTTTCATTTAGGAATATACCAACATGAGTGTGACTGTGGCACTCAGTGTCATCACTGTGTCATTTAGTATTTGGTATCACAGTATTTCTATTATATAGTATTTGTATTATTTAATGTGTATCAATTTTAGTTGTCATTTGCATTTAATACTGTTGTATCATTTAATTTATACCATTGCACCACATTGTGTTATCATTGGTAGGCTAATAAATGTGTTCAACAGTGTCACAGAGATAATGCTATGTGTTCACCAAACCCCATCTCCTTTTCCTCAGAGCATCGAAGGACTACCTGCTGCAGGTGAGTTCTAGCTGGGAGAGCATGGAGGGAAGTGTTGTGAAGAAAAAGGCTATCTTGTGCAACTTTCCAAATGTTTCTTCTTGGTGTGTCTGTAAACCTGTTGGAGGTACAATCTGAAGGAAAGATGATGTGGCCTTGGTTAGGGTAAATAACATTAGATCGGGGAATCTCCTGATTTTCTTTTTTAAAATGTTTGAGAATTTCACACCATATCCTCCACCATAGCTTTTCCCTCCCAACTTCATGTACTCTTTTTAAACCCAAGTCTCCTCAGTACTGACAGTGTGTTCACAGGGCTGTGCACTGGGGCACTGGCCGCCTATCAGAGGTTGCATTCCTGAAGCTGTAGTGGAAGTTTTGGTTATTTATGTAAGTATGTTTTTGTTGTAACTCAAGAGTGGGGTTTGGGAAGCCACAGCTGATAACAGCCTCATGAGAGGGCGAGTGATCTTTGTCAGGTGGAAACTGCATTGTGTGTGGAGGGGAGGGGACATTGTTTTTGCCAGCTAAAAAACATCCTTGTGCGGACTGTGAGAAGGTATAAATAGGAGCGCAGAGAAAGAAAGGATGCTTCAAGACACTCATAGAGAGAAATGCTACACTGAATGCTTCAAGGAGGTTGCTGTCGCCCCTGCTGCTAGTGGTCTTTGTTGCTGCATTTGCTGTTGGTAACCCCAGCACTAAGGGAGGCAGAGGCAGGCAGATCCCTGTGACACAGTTTGAGGCCTGCCTGGTCTACAAAGTAAGTCCAGGACAGCCAAGGCTACACAGAGAAACCCTGTCTTGAAAACCAAAAAAAAAAAAAAAAAAGAAAAAAAGCAAAGCCTACATGAAGCAAGCTGACACCATCCCTCCCCAACAGCCATCAGTTGCCAGTAGCTCTGAAGCTATGGAGTGGGAATGTATAAGACCCTCCCCATCCATGCTGGGATCTAGCTGGCTTGATCTCATGCGTAAGTCACAGGTCCTGTGAGTTCACATGTGCAGTGGCCTTTCATGTCATGACCATGTTCAGTGGTCCCCCACTCTCTCTAGAAGGATCATTGTGATAGGGGGTGGGTGGGCATAAAGAACAGGAGTTCTGAACCTAATTTGGGCCCTAGACTGTTTTGCCAGAGTGACAGTAAGGACTAGGTCCTTGGTTGCACACTCTTCACCCGCCTCACCTACACTGGACTGGGTCATGATGGGCAAATCATTTAATGTTGAGATTTGGGGTTATCACTATGATGACTGGTATATAATGTGAGACCCATTTATCAGGAAACTAGTTAAGAGTAGTCTCCAAGACACTGCTAACTTCTGCAAGGAGAACAAAACACTTTCCTAGAGAGCCCTTTGTGTTTCCTCCTTTGTGTTGGATAAAGACATGAACCCAGTCGGTTTAGCTTGAGACTCTGCAGTCTATTCAGGAAAGGCTCCTTACAAAAGTGGGACCTGAAGACTTAAGGTAACGCACAGGAGGGGAGAACTCAAATCTAGAACTCTTTAATTCTGGTCTCACCTTAGCTGTTTGCACAGCTAGTTAATACAAGTTTTAAAAATTTCATATTTTGGTCTCATTTATAAAGCAGCCCTTGTTTTCAGAACTTAACGTCTACAATAAGATTCCTGATGAAATAAAGGTGGTAAAATTACCCTTTTGAAGTTACGAGATCAAAGGAATGATAAAGACACCTGAAAGGTAATGGCTCTTAGCAAGCATGTCCAAGTCTGGCAGGCCATTAGCTGACTGCCATAGACTAGTTACAGGTCCTGTGGGCATCACAGCTTTCCATCTGTATGCTGTATGAATTAGCATATATCACATATTAAGTTCATACTAAACATTTGAACTTAGTAACAAATGTGCATGGTTTAGCCTTTCTTACCAGGCAAATCAGTGGTGCCTGTGAGGTGAAAACTGTCCATGCCAAGCACTGTTTGACAGAGTCCTAACTTCCAAATTTAAGTCTTTATTTGGAGAATGCAGAGATTCTAACCTATCTTCAAGGCCAATTGGCAAATGCTTATAAGGTGGACTCCAGGTTTCTTAAAGACCTCCCTTCATTTTTCTTGTTCTGATGGCAAGCTGACAAAGCTTCCTCACTGTGTCTGAGGGTGCTAAGTGTTCCTACCAAAGTAGATGCTGGTGATATCTGTGGATGTAGAAAATGTAGAATTGTCTGATGGGATGGACTTCACCAAATGTGTTCTTAAATCTTAGTCCCAGGACACACATCTATGAAATAATGCTATGTGTGGCCTTCTGGTGTCCGTTTCAAGATGAGGTTCACTTTGTTCTATGGTCCTGGGGGCTGACTCTGGGGTCGGCAGCTAACAAGCACTCTATTACTGGGCCACTTCCCCAGCCCCCACTTTATTTTCAAATATTGATTTCTGGGGGCATTAACAGTCAAGTCCACGCTTCATGCATGCTAGGCAAGTACTACACACCTGGGCTGTACCCAGTCTTCATGTTCCTTTTAGTTTATAAGAATTAAGTAATTATTGTTTCGCATTTTTTGAGATAGGGTCTCTTTAGTCCAGGCAGACCTTGAACTTGTGGTAACCCTCCTGCCTCGGCCATTTGAGGGCTAGGATTAAAGGCATTAGCCACCATGCTTGGCTCAACTAATCAAGTTCTTCGTAAGATGTTGAGTTTGCACCCCAACCAGTGGGCAGCACCTTACAATGTAGTGACCTAGTTGCTGTGCTGAGCCCTGCTGACATCACCAAGCCTTCACAGGAACCTCCACAGCCAGTTTCTTCATCTGAGCTGGCCATCAACAGTCTGAGTAATAAACCCTCTCTGAGTCCTAAAGTGCCATATCGGTACTAGTGACAGTGCTGTGGGACAATGCTAGAAGTAGCATGCAGAACACAGGCGCAGCTGGCAGAGCCAGACTGAACAACTGTCACCAGGGCACAAAGTTCAAATACCAAATTTACAAGGAGTTTCCTTTATGGAGGTTTACGGTTGACTTTTCTCTTGAATGTTGATCAAATAAGAACACACATCAACACACCACGGCCATGTGGCATTCTAGGCCCTTTCAAACCCCATCAAGGACTCCTCTTGACATGCAGCTGGGAACAGCAATAGTCACAATGACACCTTTATGGGATGTGACCCCCCCTTTGGCAACCATGTGGGTTAGTGTTTTTGTTTTGTTTTGAACTCAGGGTCTTGCTATACACCTTGTAGCCCAGGCTGCCTCGATATCCTGAGTGCTGGGAATTATAATCACGTTCCACCATGTCTTCCTCTAATAAAGTTTGACTGTGGCCCCTTATACACAGTGTTAGTTCCTTATGGGGTTTCGCTTGCTCAGTGACATGGCTCTTTGCAGGACTCCCAGGTGAATCAAGAGGCTAATTGTGGGACCAACAGCAACGTGTGGCCTGATCTCTGAAGTCTTGTTTAATTTCTTGGAGTTGAGTTTATGGAATGGGACACTCTACTGCTCTTGTCCAGCTTGTCTTAGTGAAGTTTCCAGTCTTCAGATAAAACATGGCTGAAACCAACTTGGAGAGAAAGGGTTTATTTCCGTTTACAGTTTCCAGGTCACACTCTATCACTGGGGGAGGTCAGGACAAGAACTGAATCAGAGGCCACGGAGCAGTGCTGATCCCTGGCTTGCTCTCCATGGCTACTGAGCCTGCTTTCTTATACCACCCAGGACCATCAGCCCAGGTGGCACTGCCTGCATAAATCATTAATCAGGAAAATGCCCTACAGGCCAATCATCATTCCCAGATGACCCTGTTGACTAGTTGACCCTGTTTACCAGTTGACCGACTGAGCAGCACACATCATCAAACCCTTGAAAAATATAGGAAGAAAAAGAAAGCATGTATGTAAGCACAAAGGGAAATAATAGAATTCTTTGAATTCTTGAGCATGTAATCTGTATTAGAATGTTTTCATCAATAAAAATAAAATAAGGGCTGATTAGGTGCAGTGTACTATAGGAGTCCATTACCATGAGGGATAGGCAGGAAATGCGAAAAGCCTGCCCTAGGGAGGAAACAGGCAGTGGCCATGGCATGTGCTTACTATCCTGAGTCCTTTCTATCCAGGTTTCATAGCTAATCCGAGCGTAGGTGGAGATGTCTAAGAAAAGACAGATGGGTGGTATGTCTTACTCAATTACTTGCACATTAATTAAAATATGTATCATGTACCTACTGTGTGCAAGGCTCTGCTGGGTACTCCCATTATGAGGGGAAGCAAAGCCTACCTTCCCCAGGCTTAGCATTGCACATTAATAAGGCTGCCTGTACTGGCGCTTGGAGGTGAGAGCTGAGGTAGAGGTCCTGTGTAGCTGCAGGGTTCATCACGGAAACTGACCTGTGAGAGCTCCAAGGCGGTGATAAAGGAGTGCCTTATCAATTGCAGGAGCTGACACAGCACAGTCGATTGCCTCTTCCTCTGTTCTGCTTCTAACTGGCATTCTCTTTATCCAGCCACACCGGACACAGGTACGAATCCTTAGAGTAATGCTGAGCAATGACAGGGAGATAAGAGGATGGGTGGGCTCGCAGATATATGGGTGTTTATTTTCCAAGACAGCCAAGGTGTTTATCCTATTACAATATCCCAGAGGACCAAGACTAATTTGTGTCTTTTTTTCCCCTTGGCAGTAACAGCAGCCACATCACAGAGCTGCATCTCCATGCTTCCATGTGCACAGCTCAAAGTTCTGACAGTCCCTAAAACCTCCAATTCCTCTCTCCTCGCTGTGGAGTTTGAGGTTCTTCAGATTGCTCTGACTTTCAGAAGCTCTTTCAGCTGCCAGAGAATCTAGATTAAATTGGGCCTCAGGAAGAACCCAACCACCCCTACTGCCACAGAGACTGAATATTTTCCATGGAATTGTTAGCAGCCCTGGGATATGCTTACTATCTTGAGACCTTCTATTTGCCTCAAGACAAAGTATTAGGCAGAACCTAGATGCTCTGCCAAAACCACATCTTTGCTCTAGAGATGCAGCTTCACCCACAGAAAGTAGTCCAGTTGTTGCAACCCCTTCCAGGGAGACGCGTGAGCCTTGGTGCACTGACTCATAAACACACTCGGGGAAAGATGATGCAATTCAAGAGACTTCATGGCAGAAGACTCCCTAGATGTCTGAGGTAATTGGAAAACTCAAAGCTGGTCCCTTGGGTGTTCATAATTTACCCAACAAGTTTGATAGAAGGTTAAGACATCTTTTTTACCAAGTGGAATTTGGTTGAATTAGAAGTACTTGGACTTGGGAGAATGGAAGTCATAAAAACATATAAAGTAAAACCAAACTGAAACCTCTACCAATTTTGACTTTTATTTATTCAACACACTGTTCTCAACTATGAACCAAAACCTGTCCTGCATGGGGATAATACAGTGACTAAATGTCAAGCTCTTGTCCCCAGGGAGCTCAGAGTTCAGTACAGCAGATAGAAGAAGAAAAAGAAAAAAAAAAAAAATATATATATATATGGTGAAGAAGCTGAAGCGGGGGATGCCTTCCCCTGGGCGGGATACTGCTATTTTATACAGGGAAGTTAGGGACCTCACTAATAGAATGGTGGTTGACACTAGAGCAGAAACTTGAAAAATCATCAGAGTGAATCAAGAGGTATGCATCTTTGAGATAGAAGGCTAGCTACTAGAAAGGCTCCAAGATGAGACTGTTCTGAGCATGAGGAGCACCCAGCGGGGCCCCTGTGCAGAGGAGAGAGGCAGCTGGGGAGGAGACGAACATGGATCATGCCAGTCATGCATGGTAATGTGAAGCATGTATACTGACTGTTCTGAGTAAGACGTGAGGCCACTGGAGGAGAATGAGCAGAATGACGTGACTTTTGAGGGGCTCTCTACTGGGGGAATAGAGTGTAGGGGGCTGGGGGAGGGAGGCGGAAGCAGGCTGCTTACAAGGCAGTGACAAAACTTTGATGTGGGAAGTCCTGGCATCCCAGGACAGCAGCTGTGGATGCGGAGGAGTCAGATGTAAGGCTGACAGGGGTTCCCTGTGGTTGGATATGGGATGTAATACACACTATGTTTTCAAGGCTCCCCATCTAAGGACAGACTTGTGTTTTTCTTTTCTAGTGCAGGAGGAGCAGTTTGGTGATGGCAGGCAGGAGGAAGTGAGAACTGGGCACTGGAAGTCATTTAAATTCGAGTGAGGTGCTTACTGTACACAGGCGGAGAAGTGAGAAAAGCCACTAGACATTATAAACATTTAGAGAGCAGACCTAGAGGGGAACTTGGGAGTCACCGTGTGTAAGTCAGAATGAGATCTTGGAAACAGAGGAAGGAAATAGAAGAAGTGCTTTTCAACTCTACTGAGCATTTACAAACCAGGAAAGTGCAAGAATGCGCAAAGGACCCTGGGAAGGAATGGTCGAGAAGAATGCAGGAGTGATGCATCACCAGTCATCAAGATGGCACTTCAGGGAGGTGTCACATGTTCCATTTGCTGTGGAAAGCTGTCCTATCCTGCAAACAGTTGAACAAACTGACCGGTGACCTCACTCGATGCTGCTAGAGCCTGTATCCCCAAGATCCTGCCAGACATTCCTCAGGGAGGTGGGGTGGACCAAAATCACCTCTGGCTGAGAAGCAGCAATCCCAATCAGCAGTGGTAAGCTCAAGAGGTGCCCAATTCTCGACCCAGAGACAAAGAGTGGGGAACAGACAACCACTAGCTGGAGGGGTGATGGGCAGTGGGATCTTCTGGAAGCATCAGATTTTGCTCACACAAAGGTGCGAAAGGGAAATGTTCCAGAAAAGGAAGAAATTGAATCTTAATGTCTGTGGCTGCCATGCAGCAGCTCCAACATGTATTCTGCAGAGATCAACTGTCCACTTGCTTCCCTTCCTTTGCTTTGCCCAGGTCATGCCAATGAGTCATCGCTCCCAAAGAGACCTTATATTGCCAATAATGCCAATATTTAATGTGTTCTGAGCTTACTGCTACATAAGAAATTAAGAATCCCAGAGCACAAAATGTATAAGGGAGGACATTGGCCAGGCTGATGCAGTACCAAGTCTTCTTCCCAGAACCCTATAGCTGCTGGGGGGCACCCTGCAGAGTCAGTGCCTTCAGTTGCTGGGTATAGACACAGCAAAAACCCTCTAGTAAGTCAGACAAGCTCTCTCTACACCATTCCTCCTTATTGACTGTCTACTTGTGAGCCCTACACATGCGTCATCACCTAGGCTCTCACCTAAACCGCAAAATCACTTTACAGTGGTCCTAAACCGTGTGCTGGAAAACAAAACAAAGAAAAAAACAACACTGAAAGTACATTAACAAAAAGCAATGGGACAAAGGGTTTACATTCTCTGGGAGAAGTAAAACTCTATCTAGCTCAGGGATAAACTGAAGAGGTGGTAATACAATGGAAAGTAAGGAAATAAAGTCCTCCTGCTCCATGCTGGTATGTTCCCACAGCAGACTCCTCGGTGTCTGTATGAAACAGAGAGGAGCCTCCTGTGTCTGAGCATCCTGCTTGAAGTGGTGACCTGTGCTTAGCCATGGCGAGACGCTTACACACACAGAAGCACTTGGACTCTGACGTTAGAGAAAGCACTTTGTCTTTAATTCTCTCAGTCTCTTTGAAACTCCTCAAGATCCTGCTTCTCTGCATATCTGAAGTCATGCTGGCCTCAGGTTTACCTGGCTGAACTTGTCCCCAGGAAGTCATCAGAGTGCCACGGTCCGAAGCAGACTCCTCGGTGCGCCCTGCCCACTGGTGTATGTGCACTCAGACTTCTCGATGAACTTCCCACAGCAAGACCAGTGAGGGCGGCCTGGGTGGCCTTTGTGTCCGTGGCCACAGCCAAGGTACCCACCTGCACGATACAAAGGGAGGAGAACAGCTGCAAGCAGGGTCCAGCTCTGCCACACAAGTTAAGCCTGGCAGCATTCAGACCTAAGCAGTGAAAATCTTTCCAAAGGAGCTACCGTTTTCACTCCACTGTGATCAGGATTCTGTGGTAGCCCTGGCCAGCCCAGGCTCTCAGAACTGTCCGAAGTGCAGCCTGAAGATGAACTAGTTTGCACTTTAAGTGTTAAATGAACTGGTTTGGATCTTAACTGTATTGAGTGAGTGACATGAAAAAAGAAGGATAGATTAATAGAAAAGGAGACAGATTCTGAATTGATTATGGAAGGGTACAACAGCATTCTGTGGGCCACCATTAGAGTAAAGACATGATGGAAAAATTTTTTAATGAAATATATCTATGTACCATGTGTGTGCCTGTTACCAGAAGAGGGTATTAAATCCCTTTAACTGGAGTAATAAATACTTGTGAGCATCTGAGTGGGTGCTGGGAATTGAACTTGAATCTTCTGCAAGAGCAGGCAGTGGCCACATGGTTGGATCTCTCCAGCTCCATGATAATTTAAAAAAAAAAAAAAGTTTTTAATCTCTTGCCTGAAGTTCTGCCTTCTGAAAGAGCCAGACATTGCTCAATCATCCACTCCCCTGATCCTCCCCATTTGAATTTCTCCATGGTTTTGGATGGGTCTGTATTTCACAGTGCTCACACTGCTAGAGTGGGTATAGACTGAACCTGAGAATCCCATGGAAGAGCAGCAGGCCTGTGGACTGGTCACAAGGCCCGTGGACTGGTGAGCTGTACGAAGAAAGAACTCAGAACCTTGAAGCCCGTCATTTCAGGTCAGAACAAGGGGCTTACACGGGTTCTCTGTCCCACCTGTACACATGAAGCTAGAATTCTAGAAGAAACGCCCCAGGGCAGAGAAGGGAAGGACCCTTGCTTGCTGCTGCTTGGGCTAGCAGGCTTAAGGGCACCGACCACCCTTACCTGGCATGGTGCCTCCACAGGCACAGCGTGCAGATTTCTGGCCTCCGCTGGAGCAGAAGGTACAGCAGTGAAACACCCCTAGGTGTGGGCGATGCTTTCTCTTCACAGTCACAGTGAACGGTGAGCCCTGAAGGGGGCAGGCCACGAGCAAAGAAAGGCACCTCAGGCATCAGTGGGATGCATGGTTAGCAGGTTTTGGTCACAGGGTGGGGGACAAGGATGCAGGACAGGAATGTACTGGGTAGGGACTTCTCGGCTGGACAGGGCAAGTACCAGTGCAGTGAAGCTGGACTGAGATTTATACAGCCCCCCTGCCATGCGCCAGAGTCACATTTCACTGGGTCACTGATTGTTCACGTGGCTACCAAAGCCTCTGGGCACTGAAGACAGTTACATAGGGTCAGCTCCATTTTCAATAACATCTGAATTAACTCAGGCGTGGCTCAGGCTCTTCATGGGTTCTGCCTCCCTCCAGCCTTGCATGAAGTGGGAATGAAACCCACTCCACACCAGTCATCAGCTTGGGCTTTCATGCGGCTGGCCATCTTTAGGAGTCCCAGGCATCTCAGGCCTGGCCACTAGGCTGCCACAGCCTCAAGCTAGGACATAGGCAGTGCTTTCTGCAGCTTCTCAGCCACGTCTCTTCTCACAGAGCTGGCACCTTTCCCCTCACCTCCAGATCCTGACACCACCAGTCCGTGCATCCTCTTATTAGTGGTTGGTGAGGGTCCGTGGAGGAGAGAATGCATGTGTGGCTCCTGAGCCTCAAGTGAGGAGCTCTAGCCAGTTTTTCTTCAAGGATAACTTCTCTATTTTAATCTATCTCCTCTATTAAACACGAATGTTTATTAAGTATTGTAATTTTCCTCTCCCTACCTAAGAACCACATCATCTGACAGAAGGCAAAGTGGAAATCTGGTATCTTAGAAGACTTCCCAGTGTTAAAGTTTCCATCTTTTGAAGGTAAGACTCATAGGCTAAGCCTCTTAAATTATAAGCCAAAAATCTTTCTTTCAAGTTCATAGCTCAGGTATTTTGTCACAGTAATGGAAGGATAGCAAATGCACAATTTAATACAAACAAACAAAAAACTTGGATGCAAACATGATTGGCACATCCTATAATCCCTGTACTTGAGGGTTCAAGGAAAGAGAATCAAGAGTTCAAGGCCAGCCTGGCTACACAGTGAATTGTAGGCCAGCCTACAGATTATAACTATTGTTATAATTGTATAATCTGTCCCCTATTTCATACGACAACAAAATAAAATAAAACGATCCGAAGATAAAGAGGTTCAAATGCCAATTTTGGTTACAGAGCTTACTGTCTTTGCGGCAAGACAGATCTGAGTAGGCATTGAAGAGACTGAAGTATACAAAAACATCCAAGCTGTTGGTGCTGTGATTAGTTAAGTAGTAATGGCACAGGTCACATGATCGACATAACCACAGTGGCATCTATGGCCATCAGTGTTGCCTTCTGACTGAGGAAACTGAATGCTTCAATGTCATCAAAGGTTTTTGCTCTACTTTCTTGTGTGGGTTATTGGAACCACAGTACAGATACACTTATGTTCTGTGGGCTGATGGTTAGGCAGATATATGACGGTCAGATGTCAGGAGGAGCCATATCCCTGCCAACCATGCTCAGTCACAGTGTGGAAAAGTCAAAAATTGTCCTACATGTGTGCTTATCTGCTAACAGACCCCCTGTGGCCAAGACATCTCCCCAAGATTAAGAATCCCAACAAATGACCAGAAGAAGGATAAAATGCAATGTAACTGTCAGTGGGTGAAACAGGCAGCATTCTTAGGGTCATGAGCACCATCTAGTAAGAACAGGAGTTTCAGAATCTAGGCTCTGTTCATGATGAAGAGAAAGGGACAGTTTATTTCATCTCTCTCTCTCATTTTTTTTTGTTGTTGTTGTTTTGTTTTGTTTTGTTTTTGAGGCAGGGTTTCTCTGTGTAGCCTTGGCTGTCCTGGACTCACCTTGTAGACCAGGCAGGCCTCACACTCACAGAGATCCGCATGCCTCTGCCTTCCAGAGTGCTGGATTATAGGTGTGTACCACTACACCTGGCTACTTATTTCATCTCTTAAGCAGGTGGTCCTATGAGATCTTGAGCTGACTGAAGGTGTGGGGGGTGGGGCTTCCTCACCTGCACGTGCTGCTCTCTGATGCAGACCCACACGGTGTAGATTCCAGGTTCCTTAGGGGTGTAGGAAACATGGTATGATCCATCCTTGTTGTCTTGGACCACTGTTCTGATTGGACTGAATGACAGTAAGGGTTCAAAAGGCCATTCCCTCTCACAAGCCTGCTCCAGCTGCCCTGCTGGAGGCAACAGTTCTGCAGCATTACATTCATTGCACTTAATATGAATGATAAACGTCCCCCAAGCTGAAGGTAAACAGCATCAGCTCTACTCTAGTCCATCATCCTGAAAACCAGGAAAATGTTCCTAGACTCCTTTTGGCAGGTCTCAGTTGTCCTCTCTGTTCCATGGCCCTTTCTCCTTATGCCAACTGCAGAGCGAGAATATAAATATGATCCTGGAATAATTTTATGGAAATAGGCTAGGTTTAAGAAAGGGTATCATTCCATATACCTCAAGGCAACTTCTGTCCATTCCAGAGCTTGGTATGAGGACAACCTGGGGACAGGGAAGACTATACTGAGAAAGAACTGAAGCTAGCCATAAAACCTACACAAGGAAACATATTTGGTTAATGGTGTGGAATCATTTTCTCATGGCACTGTAGAACTGTAAGGTGAAAGAGTCCGGTTACAGCTGCCGGACCTCAAAGGCCCTACTGGTTTCCTCACTGCCCATGACACATGCTACATTTTATACACACCTATCTTGCTTATCTTTGGGGACAACTGCAACATGGACGTTGTCTCCTCCCCTGCCCATGCTCTCTCCTGTGGCATCCTTACAAAGCAGGGTAAAAGAGGCTGTCTGTTTCTCTCGAGCTCTGTGGAGATCTGCAAAAGACAAACACACAGTGCTCACCTCGCAGGCAAAAAGGAAGGACCGTCTCCCCAGTCATCCAAACAAAGCCTGTGCTTCCTGGTTATTTGAATGACCCTGTTTCCTTCCTGTTCTCCTTCCCTCTAGGCCATGCCACCTGGATAACCCCTCACACTCTGCCCCAGAGGCCTGGGCAAAGTCATTTGTCAGCAGCTTCTAGGAGGCCACATAGGGTTCTGCATCTTAACTTCAGTCCCAAGGAAACTGCAAATAGTCAGGATCCATCTAGGTATCCAAGGAAAGCCTTTAGAAGTGTATGAGACTGACATCTTCAAAACCACCTTCCACAAGCCCTGGGTCCTGCTCGAATAGGTAGAGGATCCTGCAGTCCAGCTTGCAACTCTCCTGTTGTGAGAGCCTGTGCAACTCAGAAGCTAATGTGGAGGTGCTGGGAGGCTACCCGCTGGCTATATCGTGCAGGCCAGCAAGCAGATAGAACCAGGATTGTGAACTACCAGGTGTTGTGGAGAAGTCTATGGGAGGTGAGGGGGGTGGAGAGCAAGGGGATGGGAGGAGCTAGGAAACTCCTGAAACTGTATGCCCTACTTAGTAGGTACTTCTGGGGGCGATCATTCTCAGAGTGATCTGTGACTCCCAAGGAGTTAGGAGTTCCTCACTAAAGTGAAGGCAACTCAAATACAAATTTCCCATCAGGACTAATTTGTGAAATTGGTCTGGATGACATGCTTCCCTTAGGAACAGAACACTGGTATGAAGAAATCATTTCTAGATGGGCCTGGCGATGCTGCCTTTAGACCCAGCATTCAGAGGCAGGTAGGTTTCTTTAAGTTTGAGGCCAGCCTGTTCCATAGAGTTCCAGGTCAGCCAGAGCTACATACTGAGACCCTGTCTCAAAAAACAAAACAAAATAAAAACCCTCAACCTATCAAATCCTTTGAACCACCAATGATATAGTTTGTATGAACCAAAATGGTGGGGAAGAAAGGAAGCCATCATCTTGTCTTCCTTGTTGCTCTGTAACCCTGACATAGCACTAGGACCTGCCATGCATGCCTCTGAGCAGGCAGATTTTGCCTTGTCCAAGTCAGTGCTATTATTTCCTGTGGGCATGGCCAGGTTCTGTCTCCCCAAAGCAAAGCCTGATCCTTAAGGTTCTTGGGAACATCTACTTTTCTGAAATGAAAAATGCTCAAGCCTCACCTCCATATTAATATCTGCAGAACAAGTGAGAAAGAAAACTGCAAGGCAGAGGGTTGCTGCCTTTAAAATCAGTATGCCTCTCTCCCTTGGGAAGTGCTCCTAGCTGAACAAGCCTCATTTTTTTTTCCTCCTGTTGACATATTGTCTCTTATAGCCCATCAGGCCTCAAACTTGCTATGTATCCAAAGAGGTCTTCAAACTTCTGACCCTCCTGTCCCTATCCACCAAGTGCTGGGATGATAAGCATGTGTGGCCAGCCATGCTCAGTTTTATGTGGAGTTGGTAACTGGACCCAGGGTTTGTGCAGGTCGGGCAAGTGCTCTGCCAATTGAGCTACACCCTCAAGACAGCAAGCCACAATTCCTTAAATATCATGTCCCTGTACACTATCCCCTCAGTGCCACCAAGAAATGCTTTCCTACCTTCTCCCTGAAGGACACACTTAGCTGGATCAACTTCTTTGGTGTTAATGGCCCCATACACGTCATAGCCTCGGCACTGGCCTGCCTTCTCCTGAGAAAAGCTGATCTTATCGTTCACTCCCAGGCGGGCGCTGTATTCGACTTTGTTCAGTTTCCTGAGCCGTTCTACCACCACTCTCTTGGTGATGAGGATCTCCAAGTCCGAGCCGCTGGTCAGCAGGTGCTCTGTGAACTCCACTCCAGTCCGCATATCTGCCAGCAGCTGTTCCAGCTGTGCTTTCTGAAGCTGCAAAGAATTTTCCTTCTGGATCCGTATGCCATCCAGCTGCTTTAGCAGCTTGTCCCGATGTTCCTCGATGGCTTTGATGTAGCCCTGGGAGAACGCGTGGACATCGGCTGCCACCGCCTCCACTTGCTCTTGGAGGGCACTGCTCACACCTTGGATCTGAGCGAGGGCTTCCTCCAGGGCCTCCACGTGGGGCTGGGTGCCTCGAAGCAGCTCCCGCACAGAGTCTCCGTGCTTGTGGATGACGTTGCTGGTGAAGTCGAACGGGTGCTCCCGGTGCTCCCCAACAACACAGTCCCGGCACACCGGCTGGTCACACAGTTCACAGAACAGCCTCAGCTCCTCCGCAGGGTGAGTGGGACACAGGATGGGCTTTCCAACCCGACTGTAGCCTTTCAGGTCTTTCAGGTCCACCATGGTATGAAACGCCGTCTTCTTCTGTCGCCTGGGAAGAAGAGTTGGGGACAGGAAGTGAGGGAATAACTCTAGAGGGAGGCAGTTTGGCAAACAGGTTGTAGGAGTTAAATAAATTTAAACAGTCACATTCCTCAGAACTATATAAAACTACAGGTCCCTCTTTGCTTCACTATTTCTCCACACAGTGAAACTCATGTCTGTCTGGGTCTATTGTTTAGAACACGATACACATACACTTGAACTTGGCTTGGGATACATCTTGAAAAGGCTCAATGCTGAGACTACAAGCCAAGGAACTTCCACTCGAGTTAATTTGTTAAGTTTAGACAAGAGCCACAGCCCACTTCCTAAAACATGGTGGAAGACAGCCACCACGTGCAACACGCAGGCCAGATGGATCTACACAGCAGTGAAAGCAGCCAGCTGGCTCCGACAAACACTCATCTTATGTTTAATTAACATTTTAGCAAAGCAATTCCTCTGGCCAGTGCCTCCATCACATACATTGGCAGGCCGGCATTTCCCTCAAGAGCCATCACCATTAGTAGAAAGCAAAATCAATGGACACTAAAATCAAAGTTCTCTTTAATTCCTCTTTTCTATAGGCTTCTAGGAGACTCTGGAAATCCCCAGGGAAATGCAGTGACTGCTTGAGGAGTTTCCATCAACTTGAAGTGTATGTGCCCATTCTGGTACGAGTGCGGCTGCTGAGAAAATGGGTCAGCTGTTGAGTTGGCAACAAGACAGCCATGGGGATAGTCATACAAGTTAAAAATAGGGAGCAGAGACAATTGTTCTGTTGCTAAGACCAGAAAACTAAGGGAGGTCAGAACTTAAAAACGTTAGTTAATCTGAACTTACTTAGTTTTTTGTTTGTTTGCTTTGTTGTAGTGAGGAAAGGGGACAAAGGGTAAATCTTCTAACAAACCGTCCGTGGAGTGTGATAAGATGAAACACTCCAATTAGCATCTACCAGCTTGCTCCCTAGGTGCAGAGGTGGAAGTTAAGGCACAGGCAGTGGACACCTATGTCAAGAAGGTGGCATGTGCTTAGTAAAGAGAGCACGGCAGAGCTAGCTCTGGACTGAGAACTCAGTTCAGTAACATGCTTACCAGCTGTGGGACCCTGGCAAATTAACAAAATATTGCTGAGCTTCCATTTCCTCACTTGACAAACAGGAGTGAAATAGCACCTGTCTTTCTGTAAAAGTCACAATGGTCAGATGAGATCAAGGGCAGGGTCTACGCTAGCCCAGGAATCCTGTCTCCACAGCACCCAGTGCATATGCAATGGATAAACGACTGGTGATGGTGGGAAACCCAGGGTGCTCTGTGAACTGCGACCTGTGATGCTCCTATTACTACAGGTATCGGCTCAGCTGTGCTAACTTCTCTTCTAGAGCTTGTGGTTGCAGAGGCGGAGTTCTTTGCTTTTTGATCTGCTGGCCAAAGGGATGTGTAGCTTGCTATCTTTGTGCTCCATTCTTAAGCCACAACAAGCGGGGTATTCCCTCTTTACCTATGAGCCTGGCAGCAGAAGTGGCAGAGATTGGTTTTGCAGGTCTGACACCTCTTCTCTACTTCTCTGTCGCTGCACAGGTCACACACCAGGCCCTGGCCTTCCCCACGCAGACTCTCCAGCATCACATCATTCATGGCCAGGTGGTCTATCGTTAAAGCCTTCACTCCACCCAAGGGCAGGTCCACCTGAGCATCACATACCGGACAGAGGATGCCAATCTGTGGCTGCAGGCTGCGTGACTTGGGTTCCTGGAATATTGACCCCTCAGCGCGTGTATCTGAGTCACCCCCTCGGATGTCCACTACTGAGAACGGTTCCAGCTTTTCCAGACACGTGGTGCACACCGTGTGCAAGCAAGGCAAGAGCCTGGGGGCTTTAAAAAGCCCCAGACACGCAGGGCAGTGAGTCTTGCCTGAGTTCCCAGATGCGTTCGCATCGGGGTGTTTGTGCACGAAACCCGGAAGCGGCTTCCTGTTTTCTGACATCTTCCCCACGTCTGTACCCCGTATCAGAAAAGGCCCTGGGCAGTCCTATAATGCAGGTTAAATTCACCCAGAGACAGAGTTCCAAGAACTTGAACAGAAACCATAAGGACTTTTGTGTTGACAAATAAAAGGGCAACCGTAAAGAGAATGCCTCTGAGGACCATCCACAGTTCTACTCGGGATTTGTGGCTGGGCCCTTCCTTTCCACTGCACCCCATTCCAGACACGTCCACGCCCTCCTCTATCACCCAAGTCGTCCTCCTAGCAAGCGCTTCTTGATCTAGTCCCCCGCTGGTCCAGCTACCACCACCATAACCCCTGCATTTCGGGTCCTCCAAGGCCACCCCCTTCTCTCTCCACCGGTCCCGCCCCCCCTCCCCCCACGCGACAAGCGCGCCCTCCGCCCCCGGCGATGAGGTAGAGGGTCCTCAGGCTCTCCCAGGATGCGGCGCCAAGTGCGGCCGCCCCCCTCGGCTGCTCAGAAGGCCCCAGAGCTGTCGCCCCGCCTCGCACCAATCCCAGCCAAGGTAAGCTCCAAAGAAGCCAATCACCGTCTGAGAGGGGCAGGCCTCGCCGCTCGGAGCCACGCCGCCCCCCAGAGTGGCACCACTGTTATCCAATAAGCTCAGGAAGTTCCACATCCTCAGGCGTTGAGACCAGAGGGACGACCGAGGGAGGGCGGCAGGTAGGACCGGGAAGAGGAGCCTGGGAGTGAGCGGCGTAGTGTCGTCGGCATCACCATTTCACGAGGAAGAGCTCCGGCCAGTAGAGAGGCCTCAGGATCATTGAAAAAGCCGCGCTGAGTGCCGCTGGACGGGCTCCGCCCTAAAGTCAGACAGGGTTCTCCCATTGGTGCGTGGTACTGTCAGTCGGCAGAGCTCTAGCCCGAAGCATGCTGGAAGTTGTAGGCGGCCTCTCCTTGGCTGCAGAGGCCTCCGCGAATCAGGGTCACCCTATCAGGTTCTTTTCCTTGGTCTCAAGAGCATTTTTCTGTTCTTTAGGTCTCGCAAGCTGCCAGCAGCTGGCTAGCTTGTGGCATTTTTCAGGGCAAAGGTACCTCCGGCTCTGGTTCCAGGAGTCTAACAGAAAAGCCCCGCGGAGCTCCACTGAGTTTCTGGGGTGCAGGCTGCCCTTAATTCACCGGTTCAAGGCCGGAGGGCACATGACCTAGGAGTTCAGCTACTTCTCACCCAGAATTCTACAGTAACGGAAGTGGTCGGGGCAGGGGGAGAGGTGGGGCTAGCAGAGCAAGCTTGGCGGCTGTTTTTACCATCAAGGGGGGCTACTGCCTGGTCACAATGGGACAGTGGAGGATGTGAGTGAGGGATAAATCCTTTGTAGGCCTGACAACTAGTTAGGAAAATGGGCACACCTGATACCCTGAGCATTATTATTTCTTTGTCTCCTTGAAGAGTTCTGCCAGGAGTCTCAGATTCATTCATAAGGAGACTGCTGCTTCCCACAGGTGAGGTCTGAGTCCTTCATCTCTTGAATTCCAGTAGTGGTAACATGGCTCCCTAGTTGCCACCTGTTCTTATTCTTCAGTAGCTTAAGACTCTGCCTCCCACCTTTCCTCGTTTACAACCGCCCATCGTTGATTTCGATCCATGGACAGCTGTTTCGGGGATCTCTTTACCAGAGATTTCATTCTGTAGCCCTAGCAGTCAGAGGCTACGTACGCTTTTATGAAGTATGGACTCTGGGTAGAAAGGGCCCTAAATTATGGAAAGATGACAAACAAAACAAACAAACAAAAAAACCAATCTGGCTGTTTCTAAAATATGTCGGACTGGAGATGTAGAGTATTTGCTTAGTATGTATGAGGCTCTGGGTTCTGTCTCTAGCACGTGTGTGAACACAGACAGACACACACACACACACACACCACCCCCAAAATGGTCTGGTTTGGTCTTTATTGTGAGGGTCTTGAGATCTGCTTCTAACTTTAACATAAGTAAAATATTACCTGTGAATTGTTTAAAAGCCATTTTTATATAAAAATCACGTGACTGGCCAATGTAAGATGCCTATAAAGGTCTTAAAAATGAAAATGGTCCTTACCTAGATTTCTCCAGCCTTTGTGCTCTGCACTGCCCTGACTGAAGCCACTTGCTTCACTCCGGTATGCTGAAGCAAATTACAAAAACTGTGTGGACTTACCTTTGCTCTATATTGTTGCTCTGAACTTAGCCTCCTTGGTGCTCAGCTACACTTTGTTCCATCTCTTATTCATGCCGTATCACATTTCCCATAACTGGTATTCTAACTTTCCTTGTTGGAGGAGTGCTGTGTAATTTATATGTGTTATCTAATTTAATCTAACAGCTTATGAGAGAGTAGTCTGGACGACGGGATCTAGTGGTCAGCCTGAGCTAACATCCGGGATGGAAATAACAGTCTCATGATGTCATGTCTAAGATTCTGCTCCAGTCACCTCTGTCCTCCCTTTTCTCGGCCTTTTATACCTCAGATCCCTTACACACCACCTTCCATGGTTGGAGAAAATCTGGAGAATGCCTTTGCTTTCTACTTAAAAGTCTAGGCATGTTCTCTCTTTTCTCATGTCACTGATGGCTGTTTTTATCCTAGCCTCTTCTGCCTCTCCGTATTTTGCTGACTAATCCTCCATCCAGTTCCTTTCAACTGGATTAACTTTGTTGTCTCTCAACACTGCGTTTCTTAGAGTGTAACCTCATATAAATCATTTGATTGACAACAGTTTATTCTTTCTCTTTTGTGTGTAGATCACAAGTGACAGTATTACTCGGTTTTTCTCAGAACTCAGTCATTTTAGTATTTGCCATTGTCGTGTACTCGGGATGTTTTGTTTTGCTTTGCTTTGTTTTGTTTTCCAGGCAGGGTTTCTCTGTGTATCCCTGGCTGTCCTGGACTCATTATGTAGATCAGGCTGGACTTGAACTCACAGAGATCTGCCCACCTCTGCCTCCCCGAGTGCTAGGATCACAGGTGTGCAATGCCACACCCATCTTTGGGATATTGTTATACTTTCTTTGTTAGTGTCCTCTCTTCATTCTGTTCTGTATCTTTCCCATCTGTATTTCCTCTTAAAAAGTTGAGTTTCTAATTCCAGTACCAACTGCCGGGGGGTGGGGGGGGTCATAAATGTCTATTATAACTGCTCTAAAACTTGGTCCTATCGCTTAACCCCATCTTAAATGATTCAGGGCTTCTCTGTTCATTAAATTCTGTGCTCATTCATTAAATGGGAAGATTAACCTTCCCATTTCATTCTCCTGAGGGAAGCTCACTCTCCCAGCCTGAAATCTTATATTCCTCCTGGCCTCCTTTCTCGTTTTCCACATCCAGGCAGGCATCCGTTTCTTTCCATTCCCATTGCCAACACCTTACCGCATAGAATTTTTGAAACTCTCCTCAAGAACCACAACAGTCTCTGGATCATTCTTGATTTTGGTTAAATAGCTAACCTGATCTTCCAGGTTAATTGTAAAACCACATTAAGCCTTCATTCTAAAACGTTTTCTTAAAGACCCCTAAACCCAGACTTCTGAATAACTCCTGAAGTCCGACAAGCACCATTCTTGCCCTTTGTCAAGTTGTCTGCACCGCTGTCCTGCCTTTATTTTTAAAACCTGTCCCTCCTTCTGTGTCAGGTGAACTTCGCTCTGCTCTCAGAATCTTCCATTATATCCAAGCTTAGCGTCTGGTTCTAATGGCTATTTTGTGAATTTGGAGATTTAGCTCAGTGGTATAATTTGATATCCAGCACCCCTCAAAAACCTAAAAGGAAACCAGCCCTTTTGCCTATATTGTTTATGTTGCAGTATTTTCTACCGTATAGTATTTTTATTATATTTGTGTACATATTTATACATATGTAAACGTGTATAAGTTACAGTATATTATGTGTAGGTGGCATACAAATGTATGTGTTTTCTGTCTCTTTGTTAAGATAACCCATTGGCAACCAAGCCATTGCCTTCATAGTAGGCATTTGATAAAGACCTGTGAATAATGATGCAGACATTGGTGATCTCAAATAATGAGAAAACTAACCAGACCATATTCAACCAAGAATTTAGTGGATAAGTGATATGAGTTGATTTCACATGGTTAAGAATTAAACAATGTTCCATTGTCAGATTTGGTTCATTGTCTTGCTCCGTGTTTACACATGCCTTCATCCTACTGAGGACCACAGCAGGTGGTCACAGGAACTACAAAGCCAGAGGAGCAGAAGAGCAGGACTTCTGGGCACGGGCAGGTTTGTAAGGTATCTGAGGATTCAGCACACCCCTAATGTCCAAGACAGGAATGGTACCCGAGGCAGGAAAGCCAGGAAGGGAAGATTACCTACCTGGAGATGAGGAAGGCTGGTTCTGACACTGCTTCATCCATCCAACAGATACTGAGGGAATGGGCAGGAAGGTTCTGGTGGACTTATCTCTCACCATTACATCTGTCTCTGTCTGTCATGTCTCTACCTCCTTGATCTCTCCTGAGACTTGTGGCCTAAAAATCCAGCCCTATCCCATGTCTGTCTTGCCTGTCTTCATCCCTCCTCACTGGTGGATCTCTCACACTCAGGCTTTTGTTTCTTCTTCAGTTCTGCGCTCCTTAGCCTCCCTTTTCTTTTTAGCTGAGGGTCTGGAGATGAACACTGTGGCTGAAGTGAAATGTCTCCCATAGCTCATGTCTGATCACCGAGCCCTGGTTGGTAATGCAGTTTGGGGAGGAGTTGCAGCTTAGTTGGGACAACCTCGCTGGAGGAAATGGCCCACTGTAGCGGGGCAGGGCGCTTTGAGGTTTCTGGCTGGACTGCTTTCACGTGATCTCTGCTTCTTGATTTGCCCGCACATGAGCAAGCAGCCCCATACCCCAGCCGTGCTGTGAACCTCCAGGCTGCCATACCTTGTCCACCAAGACGGACTACATCTCAAAAACCATGAGCCAAGGCAAGCGCATCCTTCCCGTGTGGTTGCTGCCACAAGAAAAGTATCAAAAACAGTCTACGCTTGTTTCTCGAGTTCTTTTCCTTCATCTTCCCCCCCTAATGCCATGCGGTCTGGCATTTGCTGCCAGCACTCCTCGGAAACCGAAGGCACCGGCGTGCACTGCTTTTCAGTCCTTACTCAGCTGACTTTGCTATCCATTTAAAACACAACTCTCTGAAACTCTCGCCCCTCCCTCTTGCTCTCCTCTTTCCCTGAAGTGCATCTTCTTCCATTTGGCTTCAGTGTTGCTAGAGCTCTTAGCTCCCGCCCCCACACCCCAGAACGCCTCTTCATTCTCCTTTGATTATTATGGGGTGATACTTGACATGACACATGGAAAAACAAACCACGTTCGCACATACTGAGCATCATCTACCGTGTCATGCCCTAAGTCAATGGTTCTCAACTGTGAGTCACAACCTCAGTTGAGAAAATGCCTCCCTCCGATTGGCCCGGAGGCAAGTCTGTGTAGCATTGACTAGTGATTGGGGTGGGAGGTCCCAGAGCACTGTAGGC